AATGTTCTGATTCTTGGACATGAATTTAAACCTGGAAAGAGGAACACGTGTACCAGCCTAAGAGCTTTTGTATGCTGTATCTTAAAGCAACAAACCTATTAGTCCATTTTATTTCCTATAGGAAGGTGTCAATTACATAGCATAATGCAATGTTGATGAACTGGAAAGAATCCAGAGAAACAAAAGAATGATAAAACAGCCAGAACAGCAAAAAATGAGCAAACTGGTATTAGGGGCTTATTTTGGGAACAGAAAATTCAATGGTGAAATGATATCTTCAAATATATTAAAAGGTACCACAAAGAAGAACATACTAGGATGTTTTCAATAACCACTGGGATGAAGAAAAGCAGCAATGGACTTAAACCACAATGAGGATTTAGGCCAAAGGAAAAGCCTCCTAATGGCAAAGATAATTAAGCATGGGAATCGTTTGTCCAGAAAAGCCAGAAAGCAGAATATGTTTGACAAACACCTGTCTGGATTCATGTAGGTGTAATTGCTGAAGGCAGGCAGGTGCCCTACCTAATTGCTGGAGAATCTTTTTAGCCATATGTTTTCAGATTCATTGGTACTATTCCAAGTACTTGTCTAGTTTTGGAAGCTTCTGTGTGATTTACATTACATATACATATTTCTTCTGCTTCCCATTCACAAGGCATTTTTATACCTCAAATTCACAGAAGTAATGCATGTGCATTACATTATGTACCAAACAAGTCTTCACTTGTCTTCGTCCAAGTATTTACTGTTAAATCAAATCCATCCTGGCCAAAGAAACAGACTTTATGGCTTTTTTTAGGTTGCAAGATAGCACCTCAACACACACCCCATCAATCACATTAAAACTGAACAGAAAACCCAAAAGCAAAACTGAGAGATTTTGCTGTCTGCTGCCTTTCTAGTCAACCATTAAACTCCAAAGTAGCCTCACTAGGCTTATTTATTTATTTAACACTATAGACATGGCTTTTAAGTTCAGGTATTTCCTTAATGAGCACTGTTTTCTATCGAGAAGAGCAGGACACCAGAATACCAGTGCTGCTAATTAACAAATGTAATCTCTACACCTTTAAGCACACAGCGTAGATTTTAAGATTACTACTTTTGCTAGTCAAAAACAATGGGAGCTGTATAGATGCTTTAAGGACATATGTTGTATAATTTAATAGGTCTCCTCATTTCTGATTTGAGTAACTCACTGAAATATTTATGGCCTTACCAGAACAGTGCATGTACAGTTATCTCTTCAGTTGTTATTATGCTGCTCTTTCTCAAGCAGCTCTTTCATTCAGGAAGAAAAGGTACATTCTGAGTTTATTAGCTGGAACTATATTAAAGCAATGTTGTCCTCCCAGTGCAGAAGTGTCCCAAGAAAGACACCTCACAGGGAATTATTTTCTTGCTCTGACACTGAAAAAATAAAAACATAGCAGCACGAGCAAGTGCCAGCAATCTGAAAATGTTTGCGGGGTCAATGGAAGGGAAGAATTTTGATACTTGGGCTCTGCAAATGCATCTTTAATACCACTATGCTAATTACTAAGAGTCAAGTTAGCCACAGTGTGCCTGTCTCACAATTACAGCTAGATATCAATGCACATAAATCAAAAAGGCAGGGGGAAACACCCAGTGCTTACCTATTAACTTCTCCACAGCTTTCCCAATCAGCTAAGCCAAACAGCTGTACAAAATTACACCACTGCCATATCCTTAATTTTAAGAACAAAACTAATAAAGTATATGGCATTAATTTGACTGTAATAAATATACCGAGGCTGTAATGTGTAATTAAAAAGAACATGAATATTTAGCAGTATTAACTATTCTCAAATTAGCAACTACTGTTTGAGAAGACTTGCTACTTTTCCTTGTAGCTCTGCCACATAACTGTGTCAAAGGAATGAGAAGGGACAACTAACAGCTTGCTAAACATGGAGCTATGTTGGCAACTTACCATAATGTAGTTTAAAAAGTAAACAAGAAATTGAGGGATTCCATATTTTAGCTGTTAATACCTGAGATGTAAGACTTCATCTGTGGTCCAGAAAGTAACAGCAACTTCACTACCAAAAGAACAAACACCTATGGCTGCTGACCACCAGCTCTTCCCATTGCCTTCTTTTTATGTGCAATCAGCATACAAGGAAAATGAACGCAAAAAGTGGGCAACTGAACCCCTGCCTGTAGGATCTTCATAAGTGAATGCATAATGCCTACTGCAGTACCTGGAGAGATCAAAATCAGGGCAGCAGGATTTTTGGAAGATATGTCTTTGGAGATACTTTTAGTGAACTTCCAATGACGGCCAGATCCCAGGCAGGAAAAGAGATTAAAGGAAAATGATGTCAAGAAATAGCTCAAGATATGCTGCTTTAGTGATCACAGATCAGAGAAGCAGGCTTCTGAGCACGTAACAGATACTGATGGTTGGGATTATATCAACAAGGGCAAGACTGTATTTTTTAATAGAAAAGTCAGAGGCAGGGTGAGGAAATTAGCAGTCAGAATAGTTGAATGCTGTGTTATTCTGCTGAACGTTTCAAAATGCTCACCGCCTGCTGCTGTATGAAGAGAGAAGTATGTTCCAGAGCTAATCAGATTTTGCCATTATCAAGTATATTTCTTTTTAAATTTTGTAATAGAAAAGAAGAAGTTGCTTTCTCAATTTTTTTCTTTACCATATGGACTACTAAGTGCAGCAGCAGCTACTTTTAAATGTTACGGTTCCTTTGCTGAGGCATTATGATCCTTTGTAAGATGAAAGTAATTTTCTTTGTGTCTTAAGGAGATGCTATTCTGCAAAGCAGAAAGGCCTCCCGAGACTTACTGCCTAAAAATAGCTAACAGCCTTTCAGGAAGATGAAGAATGAATCTTTCAAGAGACGTGCTTGATTATTCTGTTTATTACTCTGATTTGCATTTCTGGAACTGGAGGATCCTGTAGTAGTAAGCACTGTAAAACAAAGGGGTTTGGTTTTGTTTGTTTTATACAGAATCCTGGCTTAAATCACCAAACTGACATCACGTAGCTGTCATTCAGCCTACCAAGCTGAAAACTGCTCTGCAGCATCATTACAGACAAGGCAATGTGTACTTGGAGAGTTTCAAGAATACACTGAACTTCTTTTAAACCTCTTCCCCCAGGCAAAATGTGAAGCTATTGTGCAACAGAGGTCACTCTGTGCAGCTAGCTCATGCATATGCCATTTCGTTCTGGATGTCAAGGATGATTTTTAACAAGGAAATCAGTTTCCATTTAGAAGAACACTCTACACCTAGACGTGTTTCACATCTACTGTAAATAAAGTAAAAATTAAAGGGTATAATGATGAATGTCCAGCAGTAGATTTTTATCCACTTAGCAATCTCAGAAGTATTTGATCCAGTTCTGTAAGAACTCAATAACAAATTTTAATTTGGAGGCACTTGTCTGGATAAAAAGGAAGTCTTCTAAGTAGTGTCTACAGTCCTTTTTTCTTTAATGTATGATATTTATGAAATGCTACATACACGAGAGCCCTTTTTAGGACAGCACATCTGCAAGAAATCAGAAGATCACACAGAGAATGTGCTGTGAGAATCTGGCCTAGAAGGCTGCAGACAGAATGCCAGTTCCTGTGTTGTAACTATTTGTCTTTTTTTTTCTTTTCTTTTCTTTGAGAGAGGAAAGCCTTAAAGCTTTAATCTCACACACAAGCTCATCACATCCCAAGTCTATCTGTAATGCTCTCCAAATAAGAATGAACTCGGAAGCATGATGCTCAATCTTTAAATCCTTCTCTGCAGAGCTGTTTTCAACTTACATGTTCATAAAAGGGATCCTTGCTGTGGCTCTAGAACTTTCTGACGTGTCCTACCTGTTACGCTTGACAACCACACGGTAGAATTCAATTGCATTTAGGACTAAAAGTTTTCCTTGCATGATTTCCTGTGTAGTGCGATAGAAATAACTTAATGTGACAGCACACTTCCATTGTCACTGGTGGAAAACAAATTCCCCTCCCTCCTGGCCACTGTTATTAACTCCAAAGCAAAGAGTATGTGCAAAAGGCAAAGGAAAAAGAACAAATGTAAAAACTGGATCCGCTGCTACCAAACTGCCAGCCCACCAAAACAACATACATGCTAACAGAAATAACACAAGGAAATGCCCCGTGCATTTTCCTAGAAAAATATTTAAAGATTCCAAAAAACTCCGTGACTTCATTATCATTCACAGCACTGTTACAAAGTCTTATTTACTTTTTTGTTCTTTGTTTCCACTATTTATTTCTGAAGAAGTCACACTGTTATCTGTTACATGACTCAGGGAATTAGCAAATACATTCAATTTGCTTAAATAGGGTAATTACTACTACACTCAGCTGACATTAGTAGCCTTTATGCAATGAACTGTCCTGTGAGGTGTGCTTAAAATTAAGGAAAATATGCATGTATATTTTAAGAGCATTAAGAAGGAAGAACACTTTTAACTCCAGACATGTAAAAGTTTTTCATCTACTTTCTGTATTTTTCTGAAGTACTGATTGAATCTTAAGCTACCAGAATGAAGGCAGCTCTGTAGTCTCAGAATCAAATGAAAAAATAATACAGCGTATAAATTCTTCTGGGTGAGACAGACCACAAAAAAGCCACCAAAACAACCACGAGAGAACAGTGCACTTGAAGGAGTTAATGTTATGGTAAGGTTAGGGCTGGAAACACTGACAGGATAGGAGCAGCAGCCCCTAGCCTGCTTTGGCAGGTCTTCTGTCATTCTGAAAGACAGTGCATTCTGGTAACCATACCCACACCACACTCTGAACACAGTGGGAACAGAACCCATACTCAGGAGCCTTTTTCCACACTTGGGAAAAAACAAACAAGGCGACTGCTGAAACTCATCATGCTCAATTACTGAGCAAGATGCTAAAGCTCCAACATTTAATGAAAGAAATGAAGTGCTTATGTGCATGTATACAAGTGTACACACACACAGGCACGCAGCTCTTACTCACAGTTTACTTCCAGAATGGCACGGACAGACTTGGCAAGGTCTCTGGCTTCTGCTGCAAGAGCTGTGGTAACAGTTGGTCCAATCCTCCCCAGCCGGGCAAGAAGTGCTTTAGAAGACAATGGTGTCCTTCTGCCACTAAAAGAAGGGGAGAAAAAAGCATTTATTTGTAAGGTGAGCAAAGGTTCCTTTCAATAAAGTAAAGCTTGAGTGTCATTCTATGAAAAAATCACTAGTATCATCAAGCATGAGTTGGTTTCAGAATTATTCTGTCTGTATAACAAAGGCTTTTAGGAAAGTTAAAATAAAACAGCATATTTAATTTCCCACCCCCGCATTGAGTATAACAGCATTCAGAAACACACAACAGAAAACTAAGGAAAAAAATACAAGACAATTTTTAGAGACAAAAGTAGATTATTTTTCAATATGTGTGTGAATAACAGCTCATATCTGCTTACCTCAGAACAGCTGAGGAAGGAGAGTTTTCGGAAAGCATTTCATGCACAACCTGTTGGCCACAGTAAGAAGTTAACAGCTCATAAATCAGTGCAGTCAAGAAGGTCAGATCTTTGGCACGTGGGCCCTCATCTGTACTTCATAATGTTGTTTCTGTTATAGCATTTCAAAACATTACTAAATACCATTTTTCTGCCTTCTTCCTCTGCAATATTTCACAGAAATCAGTATGCTCGTGAAAAATACGTTTAAGAAATCCGACCAATTTCACTGACTCCACGTACAGCAAGATGAAAAGACATTCCTACAAGAACAGCACCTGTATTTCCAGCATGGTGCACCAAGCTGGTGAATCAACACACAGCTTTCCAAGCAGAACAGTGCAGTGGCACAGTTACCTCAACGAACTGTAGCAGTTTTTCAGTAGCCACCTCAAAGCTCTTCCTAGCCGACTCCGATTTCCGCAGCTGACAGTCAAGAACAGTAACCCTCTTTCTCAAATCTTGGATGCTATCCTGGAAAAGATGTTTGGTACGTGCTAGTTTAAGGCTTTTATTTTCATCATTTGCTTCTATGGCTCACAAAGGTAAAAGGTGTGGATTAAAATAGACATCTGAAATGTTTTACACCTTATGTTTCCTACCCGTACCTGCTCAGGTAAGCTCTAGTAAATAAGCTCCCGGGTATCACATCAAGATAAATTCAGACTGGCAGCTGACAGCAGTGATGGGCTGAAACTGAGGATGCTCTGTACTGATTTATGAACAGATGAACAGCGCTGAAGTGATGCTGGCAGGACCTGTCAGCAGGGTGCCACAAACAGCCAGTGTGTGAGGAGTTGTGGTCCTCTGCTTTGCGTCTGTACATCCTTTGTCCAGCAGAGCAATTATGGCATATCATATTGAAAACTACCCCCCAGGATTTCTCCACGTGCGCTTGTATAAGCTATCGACCTGAGTTATTCATCCTTCCTCTCCTTCAGCTTCAGACAGTGTGAGCCCAGCACCACTGAGTCTCACTCATTAGGTCAGGTGCTGAAGGCTCAGGGTTTTCTCTCGAGTCCTTGGAACTGTTCACCATGAGAAAAGTTTTCATATGTATGTAGGTTGCCCAAAAGCAATGCCTCCTACTTACATACATGGGAACTATAACAGAGCAGGACAACATTATTTGATAGAGCGAATTCTCAGCTAAGAAACACTTTTTCTACACAGGTACTGCTTTCAGCTGTGCATGTAGGTATTTCACCCCGATGTTTGGAAAGGCTGTGACTCATCACCCATGCCATCAGATGAGGGGAATTTCTCCCTGGAAGTTACACACATTTCCTGTGTTGCTCCTCCGTAAGCTCATACACTGCAGGGGTCAGTTTTATCTTATTAAAACCTTTTAATATTGAATTAATTCTCACTGTGAAAAAAGGCAGCAGTTCATTAAGTCTCCTTCACCATTAATTCTTATGCACATCTATTTTTCAAGAGAAAAAGAAGGCAAGCACACACGCCAACCTGTCTGCACTTGTTTGAACCATGTGCAGAAGATTAAAAGCACCTCCAATATTTTCACTCCTCAGCATACTTTGAAATGATTCGCTGGAAATGAAGTAGTTTTAAAATACGAGACTCAATTAAAAAATTGTAGGAAATTTCACTGGCAGACTACTGTTGGTATCATTTAAATTACTATCTTGATTAAATCCACATGTACTTAAGAACAGCACTGGATTTTGTAACATTAATCTAGCAGAAGCATAAAAAACCATTCAGGTAACTTTTACATAGGTACAGAAGCAAACAAATGCGTGCATCATCTTCACAGCTGCTGTCTACAGAGCAGAAACTATTCCTGCTCTAATGCTCGAGATGTGCCATGGTGACCTGTGGCCCACATGTGCTTCCAGCTCCTGTTTTTCCAGCCCAAAGACGTCTGGATAAAGGAAGACTCACGCACTCCACATTATCCCCCCCCACTACAAATCATTCCAGTTATTGAATAATACAAGACAAACAGTGACCTACTTTAGCAAAGCAGATGAAAAGAAAATGAAAACAAGATACATGACAACAGCAAGGAAACCATGGTAACTATGACAGGAGACTGCTTTGCTTACTTTATTTTGGCCACAGTGATCAGAGAGCTGAGCCTTCAGCTCCACGATTTCAGCTTCCAGCAGGCGAATCACTTCTTCGTAGTCCATCTCCATTCCGCGCGCCTGTCTCTGTGCAGCTTCTGCAAGATGAATCCTGCTTCGCAGGGCTCTTGTCTCCTCTACAGCTGCCTTGGCTTCCTGTAGATGATAGAATTTAATTGACAAGTTACAACTCCTGCTAATAACAAAGGATTTTTTTTTTTTTAACTGCAAATTTAGCTTAAAAGCATTGTGGTTCACGTAAGGGCTGCCTTCTAGTTTTCACAGTCAGCTGATCCACTTCCTGATTTTTACATCAGGTTTTTACAGAGAGATGACATTCCCAATGAATTACAACATTAATTCTATGATTACTTTAAATCCAATTGAATGAAAGGCTTTATGGAAATGCATCCAAAGCTGTTAATTTTTCCCATTGCTTCTGCAGGAGGCGAAGTCCTTCTAATGATGTTGCTACATACTTTACTATCACTGCCTGAGTTTGCACATCATGCAGGTGGATTCCAGATGCAACCATTCAGTCCAAACTGCTCTTAAAGTAAGTGCTGTTTTTAATTTTCCTGCCCAGTTCCTGCTCTTGTTATTCTGCATTACCACAGAACAGCGTCACGTAACATTTATTTAGAAATATATGTAGAAAATTAGAAAAGAGAAACTGTTAAATTCTTATTCGGCAAGAAGTAAATGCTGTCAATGCTCAGTTCATCAACTCAAATTCAACTTCAAATTTCATGGAAAACACGTCATATAATGTTTAACAGGTGTCATAGTATGAATGAGTAGAAAGTTCAGTTAGGCTTACAAAGGCAGATTTAATTCCATTGTTTTCTAACTTAGAAACATGCCTATTTTGCAAGCAATATTCTTCAAGCCTGGTTTTCCTACACTTTGTCTGAATGTTTTTCATACAGAATGATGACCAGCTCCACCACTGTCAGTTTCATATGTTTTTTAACCTGTAATCTGTTAGCCCAAGAAAACAATTATATTTTTTCAGGCTGTAAGTAAATTAATCTGAATGACATATATAGGACACCATCTATCCCATATTTACAATGGTTTTGCAATGTAATACCAATTTGGATAATTGCCAGGGACATTCTGGTCCTTTGGAAAATAAAGCATTGGAGGAAATAAGCATACATGTAGCAAACAGCAATATCACTAGTACAGATGACAGCTTTATATAAAGATCTTTCTATTATAACTGATGAAAGATACATTTTAATACCCTTTGATAGCGAATATAGACATTTGCTATTTTCTTTTAGAAGCACAAGCAGGTGTGGCCAATGCATTCTACATGACTGTCATCTGCACCTGGGAACACAGGCGACCCGAAAGCAGTGTCTCTGTTGGGCAGCTCGTCCTGCTGCCAGCCGTTAGCACAGCACCCGGAGCTGAGCAGCGCTGGCTAACAGACAGACAGACAGACAGACAGACAGCTGCTCACAGGCACAGCACAGACAACGCGTCCCTCCTGCACGTGGCTCACAGCAGTTCCTTTTCCTTCAAATTAGTCAGGGGATTTCTTAGAAATCCCAATCCATATCTGCAGAGATCAAACCTCCTGCTTCTGCAGGACTTCCCTGCTGCTGTGACTCATCAGCAAGAAAAGGTGGGCCCTGCAGATGACAAAGGATGTTTTCAGAGTCTTCAGTAGCAAAGGTACCAGCAGTGAGCCCAGGTGAGGGAAGGGCTCTTGGAGAGAAAAGTGAAAAGGTACTAAGTTTGCTGAATAGAAATGAACACAGAGGCCCTGACAAAGGGTAGCATCTTAAAAATGCATTGGTGGGAATTATTTAAATAAACTGATAGCAAATATGTCATGGGAGAACTGCTATAATGAAAAGGGAGGTCTTTATTTTGAAATAAGACTTCCTGGAGATAGAGGTTTAATCTCTTCTAACCCAGAACTGCCTTCACTCCTCCATTGTTTCTTCTGAAACCCAATTGTTGAATATTAATTCCTCTGTAATAGCAGACTAAGTATGACCAGATTTCAACAATGAAAGACCTAAAGGAATAATTAACGAACAATGGACTCTTCTATTACAAGGAAACGATTATCCACACCAGGACTGAATTAGCAGAATTTTCTGACAAACCAGAGCTGTTTCCTCCAGCAGGGAGCACACAGGGATGGAGGCCATCAGCTTTCCCAGTTCTACAGTTACTGAAGCTGGCACTGCTGTGACACGGTCGGTTGTAACCCACAGAGCTGAGGGGCATCCACCACGAGAACAGGTGGACTACAGCATGCTGCAGCAGCACCTCGTCTCATCCCTTTTGACTGCAGGCATAAAGGAAGACATAACAGCTGCAAATATTTTACCCAAATAAATGCTTGATGGAACCCTTTGTCCCAGTGTGGCACAAAGCCACCACCACAGCTGAGTGCAGGCTGCAGAACAGAATGGAATCCTTATGGAGAAGGCAAGGTGCAGCTTTCTTACGTGCCAGGTATTTCTCCCTCGAATTAATTCAGATGTTTACAGGCTTTATCCGAGAAATAATCCAGCCACCACAATCACTGAACTAAAGTCACAAGACTGGGGAGGAAAGGAAAGGAACAGAAACCCTGAAATGGCCATACCTACATGGAAAGCTGCAGAATCTTTTGGGAAAAGCCCCTCAGCATCTATGCCTGGAAAAAAATCACAACTTTAACACTGACTCAGTCAGTGTTCAGTGCTGAGACTTCTTCCATTAAGGACTGCACCACACCTCTACCCGTCATAACGAAGATTTATTTCTTAATACACATACAAAAAAAAAAGAGGCAGCATTCAAGTTATGGCTTCTAGACTGGCAGAAAGAAGGGTGAGGTGGGCTTCAGTACACCAAGAAAAAAGTTGCTCGCACTTTCACAAAACCTGTTTTTCCATTATTTCTCCTGAAATAAAGCACCTCAGAGACGCTGCACCCATTCTATTTCTTACACTTCTGTGTGGATAAGCACCTAAACTGCATATCTAAAATGCATCCTCATGTTTGCTCTAGGAAACATCTACCTCCTCTGAGCACCTTCAATGCAAATTAATGCAAATTAAAATAGCCACAGCTTAAGGCCAAAAACATATCCCTAGATCAGCAAAACAGTTTTCACTTTCTTGCTGAGTGAAAAATGGAAAGCACTTGCACTCCCACTTTCCTAAGTCGTACCCTTCCTCACCTCCAACAATCCCCGTGTGTCAGAGGACTCAAAAAGAGGTTCAGATAAGAAGCCTGAAGTATATCATTATAAATTAAATGACAACTGGCAGTCTAGATTGCCTATTATTATTAACTTTGTATAACTATGAACCTCAGTGTCAACAATGGTTCTGAACCACAGATGTATATATATGCACTATATCAACATATAAAAATGTAATAATTTCATATATACATATAAATACTATTTATGTATAGTTATATGTATAGTTATACATAAAATACTTGAAAACATGTGCAGAACACACAGAACTGTATTTTCATCAAAAGCCTTCTCTGTACCTCCAGAGTGGGACTCAAACAACAGCACTGCTGCAGTGACACATCAGTTATTATTTCTCTCTTTCACTATCTGGGCCCTTTTCAGCAGCAGTTACTCAAAACCTCAATGGGAAATGTTGGTATTTATCCCTTGGTGGGCTGCTTCACTCCCAGCAAAGCCACCTTTAGGACACGTAGCAGAACTGGACAGAAAACTAGAAGTATGAGGACCTCACCAGGTAGAAAAGGGGCATTGCTTGCACCGGAACCGACTGGTCCTAAAAAAAGTCCTTCTCAACAAGAGCAGCTGTGTGAGCTGAGGCTCCACGAGGAGGACCTGCTGCCATATCACCCGTGTTTACTGTTTGTGCTTTCTCTTGGCTTTAGTTTGAACCGATGGACACCAGCTCCAGTCCGGAGTGACGACCTGAGGGCCCATTAATGAACAGAAACATATGCAGCACCACTGTAACTTACTTCTGGTTACATTCATCCAAAAAAGAATCTGGTTTAATTCATCAGGGTCTGCTGTGGAGAAGGTAACACCATAGGATTAACAGAGGAAGCTTCCAAGCAGTTCTCTTGCATTTGTGGAATGAAAGGTACCAACAATGGTGCTTAACAGAAACACGTAACGGGCAAAAACGTAAAACTGATCTTTGCATAGCAGTGAACTGAAAGATTTTTCAAATTATATTTTGCATTTTTGCATCTGATGCAACTGAGAGCCTCCAAGGAAGCCTGCAGCAGTGCAAGAGAGAAGAAAGGGGAGCAGCTTTGGAGGAGGGCAGACAGAAGTGTTTGGTAGAAGCAGGAAACAGGGAAGTTGCTCCAGCTGGAATTTGGGATACAAACAAATTTCAAGAGAGAATGATTTTATTTTAAAGAAACTTCAGCATACTTGCTTGACTGCTTGTAGTTCCTCTGTTAACTGCTTCTGTAAATTCAGAGATTCTGATAATTCTTCCTGTAAAAACAAAAAAAATAAATAAAGTATGCCATAGCTTGTATTCCAAACTAGATTCCAGCTGCTGTGTTTGCAGTTTGTGACACACTCTACAAATGACATCGAATAAGCCCACAAACACACAGATTTTAAAAGCACTGGTGGGAAAAAAATAAAATCTGAACATTTTCTTAAGATCTGGGACAGAATCAAGCTGTAATTCATAAAGGACAGTTTTTGGAGGGTTCATTAACGTCATACTCATTACATTGCTCAAGCATCTGAGGATTACACACTGAATGTTTCTGCAATGCAAATAAAACACGCTTTAAGCCTCTTGCTGCACAGCCACAGAGAAAGTGCACAGAACAAAGACATCTCTGCAGCTTGAGCAGCGTGCTGCACAGCCTGGCATTCACAGCAAGGTATCTCCAGCACCGTGTTTGACCACTGTTTTAGCTGCCTACTGACACCAGCAGCACAGTCAGGCTGTGCTGCCACAGCCTGCACCATTTCCAGAAGCTTAAAAGCTCTGGAGAAGTTTATTAAAAGAAGTGCCATAAAGCACAGAGATGCTCACACTGAGGCAGAGCTTACAGATGTTTTCAGGAAAAGTAAAAGAAATGGGGCGATTCTCATAAGCTGACCTCACCAGCTTTCAACATCAGCTATTCAAGGCCTCCTGGTCAGTATCCAGTTCTTCAAATTGATCACTGGAGACCAGGCTCTTTCATTTCAGTACAAAGTTCTTTGTGAGAAGAGTCCTTGTGCACAGAGTGAGGAACAGTTCTTTGTGTGCACCAACCCAAAGCTTTTGCAGTCTCCAGCAAGGATGAATTTGTTGGGCCAGTTGACAACATATAGAACTGCTTGTACCCTGGGATCACACTTCCCACTCATGTCCAAGAACAAGAGTTAGGGGCACTGAATACAGAATTTATTTTTTTTTTTTTACATCTTGGATTGCTAAAGAAATTCAAGACCACAGGACAATGGTTGTAACCCGAGGTATTAAGTAAAAATAAATACATTAATTGCTTTTGATATTAAGTGTTTCATAATGTCTGTGAAAACACGCATTAATTTTGCAAATGGGTTCATTTATTTTCCAGTTAACTTCTTTCAAAATTATCAGCATCTGCTCAGACACTGTGGTTGTGAGGATCACACATTTCCAAATTAAACTGCTCTGCAAATCAGTCACTTCTCCAAAGACACTTCAATGAAATGGCTTCTCAACATCACCTCCCTGTGAATCAGATTTGAAAGTCTTCGTGGTCCATGTAATAAAGCTCATGTTCTCCATACTGTGAGCACACGATCTCTAAGCATTATGCAGTTTGCTCTGCCTTTTTATTTATCTATCACAACTTGAGTGTCAAAAGCAAAGCAGCAAAGTACACAAAAATTCGACTCCTGATTAAAATAACACAAGTCAAAATTAAGTATTACCTTTAATTTGCTCATTTCTTTTAGAGCTTCATTTCTTTCCTTCTTAAGCTTTTCCATGTCATCCTCCAAAGAATCCCAGGTTACAAACTGCGCACATTTAAACAGGCCCTGTTAGAAATCAGTCCTATGTGCATCTCTCATAATCCTTAACATCCTACCCTAAAAGGTCTTGTCAATGAAATGAGAGAATGACTTTAGAATGATTTAAAGCTCTGGAAAATATTATTGAAATCATGAAGAATTTTTAAGAAAATTCTCAGCAACTTATCAAGTAATTTTTCCTGTCACAAAGGACTACCAAACTACTACAAAATGTCAAGACCACTACACTAACAGTCACCACTTTGTTCAATATTTTAAATAACACCTTATTGTATTTAAATTTTCCTATGCTACAAATACACTGCTTTGGCACTCACTCCTAAGTTACCTCCAGAATGAAGTGATATTCCATTTAGCAGCAGCACAAATCACCAGACCCCATAACTGTTTATTATGCACACAGATAGCAGCAATGTGTATTTAAGAAACCTTGGCAAATCACCATTGTCTGTACTGACAACAACATCATTATGTGAATTGCTTTCTGCAATGTGGGTTGCTTCGAAAAGCTTCACAGAAACTGGGTTATCTTAAAGCACAGCATGACAGGGGGCTGTGCTGAAAACCTGCCCAAGATTTGGAATAATCTCACATGTTAAGCTCCCCAATAATCCCCTCCCAGCAGCTGAACACTGCACACACACACACACACTTCACCTGCAAATCTAACAAACTGGCAATTTCATCAATCCCAAACGTTACAGGTTTTTGGCCACCATCTGTTGCATCCAATTGCACAGAGAACAGATTCCTTGAAACTTCAATGAAATCTAGAAAACAAAACAGTTCAGGTTTTGTTGCTGCAGTCTGCAGGTTCAGGTCAGTAGCAGCATCAGTGGGTGCAACACAACTGCTCAGAGCACGATACAAGGCTGCTCTCAGAATGCAGCATCTGCTCTCCACAATTTTCTTAAAGGAAAACATAAATCTTACAGTTTTGTCAGACACAGCCCTCTGAACAGAAGCAAGCTGGCAAAATAAGAACAGGTCCTGGCACAAAATGCTTCGTAAGTTGTGAAGGAGAAAGGAAAACCAGAGTTCAACCTCCAAGTACCTGCTGAGAGATGCTGTACACCTGCAGACCCCTGTGGAAACCTGAGATCTGCACACCTCCTTTACACCCACCCTGCCCTGGGGATTGATCTTCCTAGAGAGTCTGCAGGAAAGACACAATTCTGTGCTTGCTCACGGCTCAACTGTACCTTGGGGAGCCTTCAAAAGCTCTGACAGAGGCCTGGGAAAAGCGATGTTGGACAAGGAAATTTCACAAACGCTGTGACAACCTCAATCAGCACAGCCCAAACTTAATGTTCATTTTGAACGCATCAAAGAAAACGTTCTGCTACACCAGGAGAGGAAATGTGAAGGTCAGTTTGTGAGCACCACAAAATCCGATGGAAGACCCACCACCTTCACCAACAGGATACTTGGAAATCCAGTGTCATTTGTAGATGATTTGGTACAAGCAATTATTTTTGTACCAGTATGAAAGTTGCATTAAATTTTATTACCAGTGTTTGATGCCGTTTTTCACAAATTTCAGGAAATTTCCATCAATTTTAGCATTGGAAATAAAACATCTCAATGTAAAACAAATATTCTGAAACTGCTGGTGTCTCCTACCAGCACTGCCACAACCAACAGCAAAAAACTAGACAAAGCAGCGTGCTGGGCTGCACACAAATGTCTCTCCACACATAATAGCTCTTCTTGGTTGTCACCAGCTGACCAAGTGAAACCATCTGTCAGTTTCGTTTCTTTTCTCTACCTCTCAGATACAGTCACTTCATTTCAGAATTTTAAGCTTATTTTTGTTAAATAGAAAGGTTTCTGCCCTGAAGTACTGTTTTATTTGTGGTAGCAATCTGACATTGACAGAAAATACATCTGCTATTTCTGTATTCATACATCTTGCTGTTTTCCAGAGTAATTAAGAAATTATTACCTCCAAAAGACACTGTTCCTTTGGAATCTTTCTGAAGTTGCTGCCTTAGGGCTTGCTGCTGTTCAGCTGAGGGCTGAATCCCAAGATAATTCAATGCCTGGAAGGAAAAAACTTATTTTGGAGAAAAAAAAACACCAAAAGGACCAGGGATAAATGGCTGCAGGGACAGAGCTGCACTTCAAAGAGCTTCTGTATCAGAGTGCACTCTCACTGACTACACTTTTATTCCAGACACTCTTTGTGACTTCTTGTTCTAATTGAGAGATGTTCAGATATTATTTAACCTTGAATACAGATGAGCATAATAAGCAAAACCCTTTGTCCTTAATAACTTTCTTCAAAATCCTGAGGGATGTCAGATCCTCAGAAGAGTTAGTCAGTAATTAGATTAACAAAAATAGTAATTTGCCCAACATATAAAATGAAATATTGTCCCAGAACCTGAAAGAGCTGCCTCAAATTCATACCTTTGGTTTTGTCAACTTAGGAATATCCTCCAAATGCTTTACATTATAAGGAGGGAGGGAGGAAGATTCAGAAGATTGTTTACCTTCTCTAGCTTTTCTGCTTTGAGACGAATAGCAGAGCTCAAGGAAGCCTTCCTTCCTGGCAGACTGTAACCATTGCTGTGGTTGGGGGCAATGACTGAGAAGAAAAAAAAACACAGTTATAATTCCTGCTTTGAAAAACGTAAGTATTGATACCTTAAACTAATCTGAAATTTTCTTTAAAAAAATTGCAACTACTGAGTTAATAGAGAGAAACCAGAATAATTTGATGTGTTCATGAAACATGCAGCTTCTTTTTGTAGTGTTTTCCTTTCTCAGATCTACACAGCAAAACTCTGGAAACAGAAGGGGAAACACTGTTGTGAATTCCAAGAAAGATCTTCAAGACACACCTTCAGCACAATCAACAGTTCCTAAAGGCACATCCAGTGATCTGGAGAACCCTGTGGGAAGAGAGGCAATGCCCTGCTGCCATTTAAGCATGTGCAGAGGTAGCTCAGCCTGAATTCCAGCAGGATTCTCAGCAGGTTTTTTTGGGGAGGAACTCTTCCCAGGACTGCCATCCATTAAGTTCCATATTCCAAGTGTTTATCACCCCCCTTCCAGTTTGTTCAGTCAGAAATGCTGCAGTTTTGCATAACTTTAACTAGTTGCATTGATTAATTCATTACAGTGCACTAAGTTCCAATGGAAGTTGAAAAATGCAGCTACAGCCTTGTCATGTTTCACACGCACCTGTGAATACAACAGCACAAGAGGAGGCAAAAAGCATAAACCAAAACATCTTGGACATCTCTGATGCCTCTCACATGCTGTATTAAATTCTGAAGACTGGGCTAGAACCTCAGTTCAGTTGGCACACTTTCTTTCAGCTCAGAATGACAAAGCTTTTTGCACGGCTTTCTGCAGGACTTTCTCAAAATTATGCTGATTTTTCCTATGGCATTTCAAAAAAATCCCAAAGCTACTTCAATTTTTCATGGTTATCCTTGGAAAAGGGCAACAGGAGAGAAGTAGCAGCTTTGGTTAAGGCCTGGCGACAACTGAAGTGAAAAGTGACAACAAACTTCAAGCTGGAGCTGCAGGTTTTTTTTCTGCTTTCTACTGTTAGCTACGCTCTTCAGAGAGGCTGACAAATTGCAGCCTTGTTCTCTTTAGGCAGCGTGAAGCTCCTGTGTATTGCACTGTACTAAATGAGCCTCCTATTCTGAACACACCCAGCAACAGCTGTTTGTCTCGTGCCTTTGATTTAATCAGTGTTTTTAATCATCAGTACGACAGAGCTGAGATCATTAAACTCCAGGTGTATTCAGCTACAGCCTTTGCAGTATCAAAAGCTCATATTCCATCCGATCACCCTTCAGGGAAGAAAACCAACCAGGCAGGTTTGCACTATGGAGGCTTTCATCTGGAATTGGGATATCTAACGTGGGCCACAAAAAACCCAAGCACAGCTTAAATAGTCAGTGCAGAAACATCTAGGATGAATCAGATGCTGTATGTTTGTCCTTCATCTCATCGCTCTTCCCCCTCAAACAGAAAGAAGCACAGGTTCTGCTTCCTTATTGCTGCCCAGAACATTGTTCAGGTTTTCATACAGGGATACAGTTTCATTATTGCTTTCTGTGAGGATCTCACGATCACGTCTGCATTTGCACTGTTTATACATGCATTGCATATCAGCATCTCAGAGGAACGACAGGTGTTCAGTTCAGACTCGGTTCTGACCAAATTCTAGAACCTCTCTTTAGTTTTCCCCATTGCTGCTTTCATAACATGTATTTGAAGATACAATCCAAGTGATTGCAGCCTTAGCTTGTAATGTCACAGCTCTCAAATACACACATGCATTGTTTGTTATTGAAATAGTGCTAAAGAGGTCTGCATGTTATGCCTGTACTTCCAAAGCCTTGATTAAAAAAATGTGCAAGCAATATACATCCACAGAATTTCATTAAGGCAAGAAAGCACAGTTTCTATGGCAACATAATCTTGATCTATATGTGAGTCCTCATTATCTGCTTTCTACTAAGTCGGTTATCATTACTGCCATACAGCAAATGTTGTGATCACTCATTTTTGTTTGGTTTCAGATGTTTGTTGTTATATCTGACAGCAGCAACTGCACAATCCGTTGATCTCTGCTCATTTTGTACTATAAAATGGTGCAATATTCCTTTTTTTAGAAGCCTAAAGAATCTTACTACATATTATTTTCTGTTAAGACAAATACTAAAGAAAAAAAGAGTGACAGGGAATTAAACCAGCATTTACCATGAACAGATACATCAGGAGGACTGCTCTCTGCAGAAGTAATTGGAGACTGCTCTTCCATTTTGACTCTAGTTTCCATCTGTGAAAGGAAATCAAAAGTCATGAAACACCATTTTGTAAGTAGGTCACAAACAGACCAGAAGCACACATTGAACCAAGAGAGGGAAAAAAAGGGCTGAACAAACTAAAACTCCAACAGAAAATGCAAAGCACAGTGAGAAGGTACAGCAACCAGAACTCAGACCTGGGCCTTATCAAAACCTTCCAAGGGTTTTCAGTATTTTCACAGATGAAAATAGCAAAGCTTTCATGCAACTTGCTTCAATGCTTGCACCCATGAGAGGAAAGAAAGCGGGCAAGAATTGAGAGCATGAAAACAATTGAGAACCAGATTCTGATTGGGGAATCTTTTGTTCTTCCTCATTCAAAGGAAATGCTTTATTTTGTTCCAAAACGTTGGTTTTTTTTTTTTTTTTTTTTTTTTTTTTTTAATACAAATCATACACTAACTAAAAAAGTGTTATTTCTTGTGTTCAGCATTGTTCCTTTACATTGAGGATGAACTGTGCTGCCTCTTAGCCAAAATAAAGAAAACTTCCCATTTTTCTGGGATGCTGATTTTTAAGCAAAAAATTCTTCATCGTGGAAGAAGTGCAAGCTGTGAGATTGCACTGTGCTCACACAGAAATCAGGCACTGAGATGCAAAACTGAGTAACTCGCAGATATCAAGTTCTGAAGCTTTGCTGCCAGGAAGAAACAGAAAGAACTCTGTAACTCTAAATGCAGTTGTGGCTAATTTTAAAGGATTTGTTTTCCTACTACAAGTCAAATAATACTCCTATCACCCTCATCAGTGTTTGTTTTGCTGTTGCACAACGTGTCTTGAAAGAATCCTACACTGGAATTCCAGTAAAGCCCAGGCAAGGGCCACTTGCTTCCTACAGGAGCAGTAATCAAACTCACAGCGTTAGGAAGCAGCGCTGACACGAGGTTTGTGTGAGGAGATGCCACAGCACCGGGGCCTGCAGCTCGCTGTCCAACAAAGGCTGCAGGAGGCGCGACGAGGCTGGAGGGACGCTGCAGATTCTCTGAATAACTGGGAGCACTTTTTTGTCTTATAAAAGCTATTTCACAACAACTTTCAAACCTAAAATGAAAAATGAAAAAGCTTTCAGCATACTGGATGCTATTCTATTCATGAGAGCATGTACTACCAGTGCAAACATCGTTTTTTCCCCAACACTGCAGTATTTCCTCTTGTGTTTTTCTAAAAAGATGTGTTATTCTCTACCATTAGAAACATTAGGCAAGCAGTGCTTTTTGGTTTTCTTTTTCTCCTTTAAAAGGAATGCAAACACAGTTTTAAACAGCTAAGGGGTGCATTTGAGTCTCCTGCTGTGATGACAGTATTTCAGCTGAATATATCAAAACCACGAACATCCCTTGTGCTTCCTCTAAGCACAGAGCATCTCACAGTAACCCAGTGTTTGCTGTTGTCTAGTAGCCCATTTTGGAGCAGCTGTCTGGCAGTGGCAGATACCTCGTCCTGGCTCTGTCAATGATACTTTTTGCCTCTTCATAGGACACGCCAATCAGTGACTCCTTGTTAATGGAGACGAGCTGATCTCCAGGCTGCAGCCGTCCATCCTGATCCACAGCAAACAAAAAACAAAACCACAGATTTTGTATTAACTACCAACAGTGGATTTTGGTGAAGTTGTGTAAAGAAATTTGGACAGCAGGTCATACTTCTGTTGAAAACAGATAAGCCATAGACATTTGCTTCACCAAGAAGTAACGACCCATAAGATGAGTGGAAACTTCTTACTAATTAACCCCGCTGAGACTTGGACTAATTTGTATTTCAAGAATCAGACATTGTTGGCTCTAAGCAGGACTTTTCAGGATCTCCTCCCACATTCACCTTACCAACACAAGCAGACCTGCAGACCTGTCTGTTGGGAATTGGCCAGGCAGAATTACCATAGAAATAATCATAGAAATTATACTGTCAACTCTGTGTTGAATTGTTCATTGCAATCTTTCTACCAGCACAGGATTGATGGCACTTTCCTGCTTCAGGTCTGCAAAACAAAACTTTCAATCTGCGTGGGCAGATTTCTCACTAATATAAAGCATTCTTCACTCACTTTTTAAACAAGCCTTAACAAATTTAACTGAAAATGCATGGCATTCACCTACATACTGCACATCACCCATGCTTATGGTTACAGATTCAGATCAGACAATTGTGCAAAGTAACACACAGAATAACATCGTGTTCTTCATTTTTCAAGAAATGAATCACAGAAGCAACCTGACCACATAAATCAAACTACAAAAGTGAAATACCTTTATAAAACTAATATAGTTTGACATACTTAATACTCTCATACACTAAGATTTAGTTATGTTATTTCAGCATGTGATCACACTTTGTTACATTTCGTGTCATTAAAAGCTCAGGTCTTCCATTTCTCCTGCAAGCAACCTGTGAAAAGATATCAATTTCAATGCTGCCCTCCGGTGGCAGAGATTTAAAATGCACTCCTCATTTAGGTTTCTCCAACAGGATAAAGAGGGAAAATACCTCCAGCACGGCTAACACCAGAACACAGAGCACACTCATGGCTCAGCCCCACTGCATCAATTACAAGCACGACAGACTGTAAGTGCTTTAAATTTACACACTTACAATGAGAAAAATGTTTCAAAAGCCAAAACGAAACAGCAAAAAGGAAGAGGAGGAGGATTACCATTTATCTCTGAAGCCTTGGAGAGATTTGGCATTTTTTCCCTTCAATCTCTGCCTTTTAGGATTAACCTCAATCTACAGATGTTCAATCAGAAATAGTTTAAGACTATTTTGGAGCAAAACTCACTGCTTGTGAAATTAACTTGTACCCTCTTGCTTGGCAGATGGCAAACGCTGGCTTATCTACACCTCCAAATAACCGTAAGAACACAGGATGACAAGAAGACTCTTAGATAAACAGATCTGTGTATTTGAACCAGGCTGTTCTGTTGTTTATTTTTCAAACTCACAAGCTCTCCTGCTTTACATATTGCACTTGTCATAAATGAAAACAGAAAGCAGTACTGATTCATACATTTTATAAGTCTGCTCTATTTTTTGAAATTATTTGCCTATGCAATGCTTTTCAACTGCACGGATTCAGCTAAATCCAGTGCAAGGGGGAAAAAAAAAATAAGGCAGGTCTGCAGGCCTGTCCCCTCCTTGCTGATTTTCCTTGCATCATAAAGCCTCTTACAAAAAATCACTTTGTCAAGTTCCTCCTAAGTGGAATAGGGAATAAGATCTTTGTTTACCCCTTTGTTTTATGTGAAAAACTCACATAATTTTCATTTTGAGGCAACCACGCTGCGGTGCAATGAGATAATTCTGTCCAGGGAGAAACAAAAATGGATTCCATAATGACAATGTGTGCATATGATGTATATTGGTACACAAAATGCAGGCAAAAATACAGGGGACTCAACAGTGTGAGAAGGAAAGGTCTTCACCTACCTTATGACAGTCACCGCCAGGGACAATTCCTTGGATGTATACCAAAGGCCCCTCATTTCTGTCAATTCCTCCAACAATATCCAAACCAAGGTTTGCTCCTTTGCAAACAGAGATGATCTGAAATGCACTACCCCTGGGAAGAGAAAGAGAATGTACACTTACCTCACAGCTCTGCATACTCACAAATGAGTGTCAAGCCTACTGATTTCACAGGTGTGCACCACAGTAACAGATACAACCAGTGGATGGAATTGAAGCATGATACAGCTTGCTTACTACAAAATCTCTAGCTTCGGGTGTTGCTTCAGGGAATTACAAAAGGAACCACTATATAATTTTGCAAGACTATAAACCTCTCTCTCTCTCTCTCCCTCCCTCTCCCTCCAATGGACCATCCAGATACACGAGCCAGAAGCATGCATTCATTACAAGACTCTAAGAAGAACAGTCAATCTGATTAATCTAACTTTACCAACTGAACAATAAAAAAAAAGAGAAAAAAACTTCTATACTCTGACAGTTGGTGTTATCAACAGTATCATAGGATTCAAAATACAGTAATTTTGAGCACTTCAACGCTCAACTCCCTCTCAGACAAGGAAGTTACCATCAGCTTTGGGAATTACTTTGCAATCTTTGGAGATGCTGCTGGTACAGAATCTTTTCTGCTGACGGTGGTGATAACGTCCTCTGGAGGCAACTGAGGACTCTGTGACCTCGAGGATGATCCAGAAGAAAGGCTGTCCACAGGTTTTCCTTAAAGAACAATGAAAAAAGAGAAGTAAAACACACCTTTAGGAAAAAGCACAGTTTCAGCTCACTTAAGGGCTCGGTGGCATTACTTCATGTTAGGAAGCAGAAAACTGTGAGCAGTTGGGCAACAGAATAAAGTTTAACTCTACACGGCTAAGAATTGCAGCCAGCATTCCAGGGACACAACAGAGCAAGGGATGACGTTCAAAAATTTGGTGAAATAAATAAACAAATAAATAAAAATCACAACAACTTTCTAAAAGAGTAATGGTCCAGCGATTGCTGTGTACAGACATTCTATGAATGTGGTATAACTCATAGAATATGGTATTCTAGCTCAAATTTTTATTAGCAATTCATAATCTTGTGGCACTTTTCTACAGCCAAGCACTGTTCACACAATTAACTAAAACTGATGAAAGTGGACAGTAGAATATGTAAGTTAGAGCTGGGAAAGCTGGCACAAACCAAGTGATTCACATGTTCAGACTATAAAGTAAATGCTGAAGTCCCGAGTAAACGTGCTTTGTGTGACTCCCTCTTGCTCCAGTACCCTTCCCACAAAGCCTTTCAATGCAGGGTTCTAGTGCACACAAGCATAAATTCTGCCCCACAGATTTATGTCAGGGCAGGAAGCAATCTCTCACCAGCTAACAGCTGAGTTGGAGAACTTCTTGCAGAATGGGCGTCACTGTGAGAGCCGTACTTATCCATCAGGTCGAGGAATTCCTTCCTGTGGGAATACAAAAGATCCTCTTTGTCAGGACTTGGTACTGGTGCTAAAGGTACCCTTAGCATCCTGCTAGCATCTCTGCTGGCCAGTCAGTCCCTCTGACTGGATAACACAGGTATGCTAAAAAAAGAATATGAAAAAAGGTATGAAAAAAAGATCATAAAAAATAAAAATGGTGTTTTTACAAACCTACCAAAACAAACGGGCAAAAAAGCAGCAGAGATGTAGAACAAAGTACACACATTGCAGAAAAGGAAACAACTCCTTATTAATCAAACACTGGATGCAGCCTAATAGAAAAGCATGATTTTTTAAATAATCTGAGCTATGAACACCTCAGTAATAGAAAATGTAAAAATAAATACACAAAAATCAAGACTGATGTAAGCCAGAAACATCATTGAATTAATATGCAATTAAAGATAGAGGACAAAATTAACTGACCACAGTAAGTTCCTGTCATTGCAGTAACTGCAGACTTACTGAAATCTTGTTGGATGAGTTGCTTAAAAAAAAAAAAAAAAAGAAAAAAAAAGAAAAAGACCATTTACTGAACTAACATTGAACCCAGGGAAAACACACAAACCCAGTTAAATGGAAATTGAACCCTTTATCACAGGGATGTGATGTAATTCATTTACTCAGAGGCATCTGAGTGAGGGACTGTGCAGAGTGGTACAGCATCAGGACACTGAGCATACCACCAGGATGGCAAAAGGACTGATGGGTTTTAATTATTGAGGGAGTTTAGAGGAACTAGGTCAGAATGCTTTAGATAAAAGCAGATTAAGAGCACACCTCACCTATCTGGGCAGCCTGAAAAAAGGAGAGATCAAGGGCTGCAGCAGGGAGTCATTTACATTACTGTCAAATACAAAAATAAAGGAGCAGAAGAGGAAGGGTGAGGTGTCACAGCCATTTCCTCCAGAGATTTAAGTCAGAAGGGTTACAGGTGTGGATCCTAACATCCCCTGTGGTTCCAAGTATAGGTTTATATGGCTAACTTTAGACAAGATTAAAGCAGTACTTCACATAAATGTACTTACAATGGAGGTTTTCGACAACCTGCTGTGGTGAACAGTTTAACCTACTTAGCCAAACTAATTCAGAGCTCATTAGAGACTGAAAAGAAAACTCCTGAGGAGAATCAATACTCAAATTTGCCTTTTTTCGGAGGGCAAGACCAGCTTAAATCATATATCTTTGTGGTACTGTAGATCTAATATATTCCTACTTCTTTATTATTTTAAAATGTGAGAAGTGTATAAAAAAACCTATCGTTATTGCAAATGAATTGTAACAATAAGGGTTGGTAACATAACATATCAATCCTCTTCATTAAACTGAAATCAGCCAGAGCTTACTGCTATCAACAGCCTTGATAAAGTGAGCCTTCCATTCCCCCCTGCCCAGGGCACTAAGAAAACAAACTGTTGTCAAATGCAACACTGGAAAACGTGACATGTGCTGCAATTCTGAGATTAATCCTATCTGAAAGTAAAACACGTGCAATCCTGATCCCTACAACCTCAGGTGCTGCGTTGGATTCTGTCAGTTTGAAGTTGAGGATTTCTTTTTCTCTTACTTTGCCTCTTCATCTCTGGCAACCAGCAGAGACATGTGATTAGATGCAGAAGCTGTTCTCAAGATGTCAACGGCCCTAGGAGGGAAAAATAATTAAGTAAATACATCAAAGTTTCAATCAAAGTGGGTAATGCTAAAGTAGTGGGAAAATGAACACATATGTAATGCAGTTGATCATTTTAACAGCCGGATACAGAGAAAAAAGTTTGTCAGTATCATAACCCAAAACTGAGTCAGTGCCAGCTGACAGCAACAACCTGGGATGGCCCTCTGTCTCCCACCCTTTTGTCCCCATCTCTCCTTGGTCAATCCTACTGCCTTCCTGGATCTCCTTCAGAACTGACAGCTCCATCAGCAGAAGAGCATTGCTCAGACACTCCGTTGCTCAGGATTTCATCTGGCAACACACACACAGTAGCTTTACTGTGAATTTTAAATGTACATCTTACTCCAGAACGAGGCTCCACATCGATCTCTGGTGATCCAGCTACAGAAACCATTCTGCCTTTTTTTGAAGCAGCAGCTCTTTAATTGTCCCATTACAGTGACACTCGTTAGCTGCATCATTTACTCTCACCACTATTCCATCAGCACACAGTTATAAAAATATCCTAACAGCTCAGTATCTTATAATGCTATTTACATACATTCAATGAACAACATTATAAAACAGACATTCTGTCATTACAAAAGCATTTAAATGCCTGTCACTTTTCTACAATGGTTTTGCAAGATAAGATTTATCGGATCAATTCATTTCTAGCTCAATTCCAGTGACCTCAGTGGAGCCATCTTTCATCAGTGGTCAATATGGTCCAAATAATCCCAAGCATATTCCAAGCTCTAATCAACATCTAATTAACAGGACACACGTACCTTTCATTGGTTACTCCAGTTAAGTTTTCTCCATTGACATCCAAAATGAGATCTCCTGCCAGCAAACGGCCTTGCAGTGAAATCAACAGCAATTCATCAATCAACAGGAGAGTGCAGAACATATGATATCATGCTAATAAAACAGGATATGTTCTTTCAATTTAAAGTAAGCTGCAATATCAGGAATCCTGACTACGCCACGCTATTTTAGATATCCTACCTCACACAGTAAAATAAAGAATTGTTTCAACAGCTTTTGCTTCAGAGCAGATTTGCAACAGAAATAAATAAAGTTACTTACTGTCCACAGCAGCGACCCCTCCAGGCAGAATTCTCTTTATGAAGATCCCATAATCTTCTGCTGTTTGCGCCCGGTAACCTCCAATTATTTTAACTCCTGCACAAGAAAAGACACAGGCAAGAGAATGGTTATTCCACCAGTGCCAAACTGATTTACAGCCGAGTCCCTAAAAGGCAGACAAATTAAACTACTGACTGCAGTGTGAGCTGGAAAAGCTCACAAAGTGCTTTTAGATCTGGTTTCCTCTGAATCAACAGAACGTGCAACCTACTTACCTAATCCATCCTGACAGTCAGAAAAAGAGATGCGGTGAACAGCTCGATTGATTCCATGAGGGCCCATGATTGTCCTAGAAAATAAAATAAGAATCATTAAACCCCTCATAAATCAGTGTACTTAAAGTTAATACAGAATGAAGTACAGCAACCCTGTTTGTAACACAAACCCAAAGCAGCTTCTTGGCAATTTCTTATTATTTGATACCTCCAAAGAAAATTCAATCTGTTCATAGAAATCTGAAATGGTAAAATAAAGTATGCTTTACTACTTCCTCTTCTCCCAAAGCATTTCAGGCCAAATTCCGAATCCCACTTTGCTTATAACAAAAGGACTGAAAATCCCACAGCCTGGTCCAGCTTAACAGTTTGGCAAGAAGAACACATTGCAACATCTCAGCTCAGGGAATGAATATTAGAACAGAACCACAACTAAGACAGTGCATACAGAAACATTTCCTAAGATACCCACCATATCACTGTATTTTCATTAACACAATCTTTTCCCTGCAGCTTCTCATCTTTTCTTCAACACCATTCCACTTAAAAAGGCAAACCCTGCCTGCTCCCCTGCACACCTCCCACCCAGGCCAGCACTGCAGGATGGCACGTGCAACGAGTTCTCCATGGGCACCTGATAATGGTAAAGAACTAAAGAACTACACCAAGTAAAATCAGATCCCTGAAACCTACATTCACAATCTCATCAGAAATATATGGCTGTGGGAATGCAAAGGGAAAGGACCATAAATCCAGTGCATCAGAGATGCTCTGCCCTCCCCCTGTACCATTTTGGGAACAGCCTCACCAGATGCCTCCTAGAAGAAAGCACAAGCACTGTTCAGGTTTTCCTGCTTCGACCTACATTTTGTTCTCTATTAGATAATGAGCAGTGCTTTCTAGAGCATGATGCTGAAGTGAAATGGAACAACTAGAATTCATTAACAGGGGAAAAGAAGATCAAAGTGGAGGACACAGTGACCCAAATCCTCCCACGCGACCAAATCCAGCACAGGGCTTCAGCTCCAAGCCCGAAACCCCACATTTCTGTGAAACCTGCAGAACGTGTCATTAAAATGTGCCATGCCAGAGAAGACAAAAACGCAGGAGGCCCAAATGTTGTAAAATCCAACACCAGGTGAGAAATTCATGTCCTAAAGAACGTGCCAACCTCTTGCATTTTGTGCAAGAAAACGAGGTGAGCCTTTTTTCGATGGGCAAGCACTTGAAAACACAACAATCCGTTCCAGAACCTCAAATTCCCAAGCACTTTGAAACATCAGCCTTTGCTTCATAGAGACTCACCTAAGAGCAGCCCAATAACCATTCTTCCCATCCTTTTCCTATCTTGCCTTCTGTTACCACTGTTCTGTTTCTCATGCACCTGGACTCTCGCTGGCACTCTGCAAAGACCCACAGACTGGCATTCGTTATTCAAAACATATTCTTCTCAGTAACAGAGACCTCAATTACACTGCATTTCCTTAATTTCATCACAGTACTGCTCTGTTGGTCCATCCAAAATACTGCACTTTTTCCTCAACTTCTGAAGCATTAGCGTAGAGCAAATAGTAGCAAACGAAGCTCTCTCAACACGTGCATAGACTATCAACATCCAGCAGAACTTTCAGAAAAGAGAATCTAAAAACGAGCAAATGTTGAGCTTCAACTTTACACCATTTATTTTTGTGAAGTTTGAAAATAATAGATCTCCGATTTTAAGTCTTTAGTATTTAAAGGCGGTGGAGCTCGCAGTATATGTGCTATGATCACAGCATATTACCAAACTTAGGCACAGAATACATCAAACAAAGCTATGTTTCCAGGAGCAATGCTTGGAAGAGGGATCCAACTCACATGAAATTCATTCTGAGAGGATACAGAGAATGTGAATCAATTGGCAGCAATAACAGAAAACAATTTCTTTGTAGGAAAAGATGCAAATCATCAACTGAACATTGCTGCTCCCTCCTGTAGAAGTCACTCAAAAACACCTGTGAGCGAGCTTCCAGCAGGCAGAGGGAACGGATGAGAGGCAAGAGATGAAATAAACAAGCAGGTGCTGAAAAAGGTGTGCTGTGACTTTGGAACATTGAAATTATGAAAAAAAATATTCCAAAGCACTTCAACCAAAGTCGCGGGAGGTTAGCAGACAGCTTTGTGCAGATGTTCCAGTAAGGCAATGAAATCTCCGATACTCTTCTCTATCACTTTGTTACCAGCACATACACGGAAGCCAACAGTTCTGTTTCCTACCTTCTGGAGACTGAGCAGCACACACAGCTCTGAGCCCTGTTCTGAATTCCTCAGAAGTTACCAGTCACTGCCATCTACCAACACTCGGCTGGACTTGCCAAAGGGTAACAGCAAACCCTCCCAATTAGCCATCACCTGGCACTCCAAATCTAAACGTTAACCTCTGACTGCTTATGAAAAGAAGGCAGCAGCTGAAAACAATTACAGCTTGTAAAGGACTGAAGGCTGCTTTCCCCATCTGCAGGCCCGAATGCCAGCAGACCCGAACGGCTGAGCGTACCAGTACAGCAGGGAGAGACCATCAAAGCGCTCCGGCTCGTCTTCGTCTCCAGGTGAGAGCAAGGACATCCTGCAGCACAGCACAGCAAACCCCCGGCGCACAGCTCAGCTTCCCACTGCAACTGCACCAAGGTTACGAGCAGGGCAATTTCTGCTCCTAACCAAAAAAAAAAAATCAGACAGAGCCCCAGACGAGTGTCTCTGCCTGCTTAATCTGCTTGAAACCCTCTGCGTCACATGGACTAATTCAGCTAGGGAGGTAATGTTTACTTTTTCTCCTTTGAAACAAGGATTTGTAGCAACTTTAAAGAGACTGATAAATGCAAGGGAGAGAAGTCACTCGCATTTACTAAAGCTGTGATTATGTGAACTATATTTAGCAGCAGCAACCAAGGGAAATAATTAAACTTATTCACTCGTGTTCTTCCAGTTCTTTATGTGCTCCATACAAACAAGGTCAGCAGCAGCAAGTCCTGACCTCCACAATGCAGCCCATCAGCAAACCGGGTCACCTCCACCCAGCACAAAAGGGAAAGCCCACAGAGCAGGCAGTGGGCAGCACTAAACAGAGGCCATCATGCTATTACCTTGCATTCTCTACCACAGCACTGATTCATGTCATGCTGTAACTGATTTTTAGCCTTTCGATACCCAGCAGTCACAAGTTAAGCAGAACTTGATGTGCGTTCAGTAGGAATGGATGCTGACGTGTTTTAGTCAAGGCAAGAAGAACTGGTGGAAGAGATGATCTCATCTTGTTAGTATATCCTCTGATGGCTTTTATGGCATGAGGAGGTGCAAAGCAGGTAGGATTCTGCACCTCATGTTCTCCTACAAAAGCAATCTGTGAACAAGCTGTGACCCTGAGGCTTTTAAAAAAACAACAAAGACTTTTCACTTGTCACCGAATGCTCAGAACTGCCCTTCTTAATCCAAATGAGTCTCAAAAATTGCCCCCCAATTTCCATGTCCACTTCCAGGAATGCTTTGTCACGGAGCTACCAGAAGAGCCACACAGCCCTGCAGTGCCTGCTTGTCTCAACAAACCCAACAGTACAGCAGAATACCAAACAGAACCGTTCTCTGTTGCTACTTGAGAATAATCCTTTCAGAAAAGACAAAATACACCACAATTTGCAGAGCTTAGACTCACTCCTTCTACAAGACTCAGCCCTTGCACTGATTTTCAGAAGTTCTGAGATTCCCAGATCAGTTTGATTACTATTTTCCACATTTGCATCACAGTGCACTTCTATAATCCCCCATTTCCTAAAATACCTTGGCAATATTGCAACCTAAAATGAAAAGCAAACATTGTGTGTTGGATGAAGGCTTTACAACAAATCCTCCCTGCAGCAGGGTGTCACCTTGCCATGAGACAGCATCTGTCAGCGTCTGGAGCCGCACAGTGGGACAGCTTGGCTATGCAAGGAATGCATATGCTGAGCCCAAGTGCTTTTTTTTTTTTGTTAAAGTTGCAGCAACTGTGGTTTTATGAGCACGTGGGCATTCCAGGAAAACAACCCTTTTGCTTACAAGCATGTATTTATTACGTGGTGATCAACAACTTTGAGATCAGCCCTCAGACTGCACTCCGAGGACACAAGACAGAAAGCTGAAGGCTGAAAGCCAAAGTGACCCACAACAGACAAGCCTAAGGATGGAAGCAGAAATATGAACGCCGCCTTCCCAACTCCCACAAAGCAAAGGACTCCCACCAGCCTCATTCAGATTGCTCACACACATTCAGTGACAAAAGCGTGTGCTCTGTAATCCTTTCGACTCAGTTTAACTCTGCTACTGTTACTGGCATTAGTCCAAAAGAGGAAAAATCACTGTTATTTTCAGCACTGTATCAATTGGATTTGCTCCAGGCAAGGTTACAGATGATAGCAAATAAAATACCCATTGCATTCCTACAACTATTTTTTCAGTGTTCTTAACAGTGCAGCTCAGTTTGTGTATCACTACAGGGAGCATTTGTCAAAACAAATCACTCAGACCAACACAGCGTGCTCACAGCATCGTGCTTTCTGCAGCACCAACACACACCTTTAAAAATAGTTTCAAAGCTACGCATTTCCATTATTAAAAAGACTAATCCTTATTAAACCAGGCACAATAAACTCCCCAACAACACATACAGATGCAAAGTAGCATCACCTCCTTATTGCTCCAAACTATTTTTATTAGTGTGGTGATCAACAACGCATCCCTTGTTCAGATACTTGCTCCTCCCCTCCTTCCTCAAGAGAAAACACTGCAGTTCAGCTTCCTGAGCTCCTCCCCAAGGCCTTTACCCCTCTTCACTTTGAAATCCTCCTGCAGTGCTGCTCCTACAGTTCCTACAGAGTCAATTGCAAAACTGGGATCGCTTCTGGTGCCAGCTCTCCGCCTTTCAGAAGGTGCTCTGTGCAATACGAATTCCCTTTTACTTGCAGAAAGAGCTAGGGACACTGTGACACCTGCAAAGCTACTCCTGCTAAGTGCAGGTCAGACTGAACTGTGGTGGGAGATGAGGCACAGCTGTGCAGCAGGCAGACAGGCTCCATTCCTAACAGCCAAACCATCCCCATGTGGCAGCGTTTTAAATTATGACTCAGCTTTCCCCAAAGAAATTCTGTAATGCTTTAGCAACCAAAATGGATTACAGGATAATTTAGCAGATGATAAAAAGACCTGTATCATCTCTGATAGCAGGATTCACAAGATCTTTTACAAATTAAAAAGAGCTTTATGAAAACCCCATTTAAGCAAATGACGCCAACAGAACCTTTTTAGGTTTGCTAACCCTAAAAGGTGAAAATTCACTGTGACCCCAGAGACCCGGCCAAGAGAACACTTTATCACACAGTGTAAGCAAACTCTTTCTTCTCATCTATCTCAAAGCATTAATTATTCAAAACTGTATTTTGTTGATTAGATCATACACATTAAAAGAAAACATATAATTACGTGCTGATTAGTAAACACAGAGGAAAAAAAAAAGTTGGAGCAACAAACAGTGTAATTGTGGAGAAGCAGAAATGGTTTGAGGGTAACCCCTGCATACAGCAGGAATGTATTTAAGTTTAGGTAAACCTCAATTAACATTTAATCAGCTGCATTCTTGAAACTCTCTATGCTGATACTGTCTCCCAGAGTTTAAAACTAGTATAGAGAATGACAGTCTGGCACCACAGTGTGGCTCAAGTACGGTTATAGCACAGACTTCATATTTGTTTCTTACCTGAAAAACTGCTTTAGGAAGTCAGTGGCCCATTAACCATTTATATGAAACACTTCACACAGCAAAATGTAACTACTTAAAGATAAATGTTTGCATTGCACGCCCTATCACCCTTTATTTCCATTTGCCTCTTCAGACCTCAGTAAAAAGTTAACTCTTTTTAATACCTTATGCTGGCTTTTTTCTGTCTGCACGATTTAACCAAGTTACTCACAAAATGACGTAATTAAGCTATGCTAAATCACTTAATGAAGCTTCTCAGCACCACAAGCTGGATCCTATTGCACAAACACAGCAAACATGATACAGCCCAGCATGAGCTGCCTGCTTTTAATTACAGATTCGATGATGCTGTTGGCATGGTTACCGAGCAGTTTATGACATTAAAATAATTCTTACTATTCTGAAAACATGATGATTGTACCAGCTGCGGTCAGCTATGCCATGTAGTTAGGGTACATGCACAAGGAACCTGTTTGCTACACAGCTCACAAGTACGTGCCCATAGTCTTGGGACCATTAAGGAATTTTTCCATGGGGTTTTATCTGTGGAGATGCAGCTCAAATTAAGTGCTGGGAAACCTGATGAGAAGCAGAGGAGCTCTCCTCCCTTTCTTTGCAAACTCATGGCTGTTGGCATCACCGTCTGTAAGTAGTTGTTTCACATTGTTTCAATGTCGAAGTTACTTTTAATGCATCATCAAAACATGTTTCTATGTAGACAACTGCAAGAACTTTCATGTTACAATCCCATAACTGGTGTAAAAGTACTTACGTTTCATTGGAAGCTGCTGGAGGCTCTGTTTTGGGCATCTTCTATTTCAGTAGAAGCTCAAAATGAAGAATTCTGAGATAAGAGGCTCATATTTCAAGCAGTAATGGCTGTGAAAACAGGAAAGAAAAAAAAAAAGCTGTTTTAAATTCACACGGCTATGTTTCCTTTCATGCATGCCAACCATTCCATCACTGCCCCACACCAGGGTCAGATGGGGAAAAGAAACAGCGATAAACCAAGCCTTGCAGCGTCAAAAAAAGCAGATAACACTTAGGACCTGACTGCACGCTGTACTGAAGCGTCGGACATCCTCATTAATCCTTCATCTACAGCACAGGGAGAAGCGAACCTACGCCTAAAACCTTCGAAAAACCGAATGAAGTCACCGAGATTAAAACAGCTGCGAGCAACGCCATGCTAAACGGGCTCGGCTGCAGCCATCTGGGAGAGCAGGGCTGGAAACCAGCCGCTATCAGCGCTCAGCGCAGCTCGCGGACCGCAGGTGTGGAGGAGCTGCGGGCTGCAGCGGTGCGGCACAGCCCGCACGGGAACGGAGCCCCGCGAGGAGAAGCGAAGCGGTCCCTGCCGATAAGGCTGCGATGAACCGGTGCGCTCAGTGCCCGCGCAGCCCCGCACGGTGCAGAGCCGCTCCGTGCCCGCAGCACCGCGCCCCGCTGCCCCCGTGCTGCCGGGAGCCGCCGTAACGCGCGCACAGCCCAGACGGTGCGCGGCCCCCGGAGACAAAGAGCTCCGACCCCAACGGCCGCGATAGTTACCTCGGTACGCGAACGCCGCCCGAGCGGCGCGTCGGGACACGGGGAAGCGACGGCGCAAACCCCGCGCGCCTCAGCGGGGCGGCGCCCACGGCCCCGCGCGCCGCTCCCGCCCTCAGCCGTTCCGCCCCGGGAGGGCGGCGCACGCGGCGCTGAGGCGGGCCGTGGGGAGGCGCGTCTCGAGCCGTTCCCGCCTCCTCTCGCGAGAGCCGCGCGACGCCGCGTGCCGGCAACATGGGGCCGCGGCTGCCCCTGTGCGCGGGCGCCCTGCGGGCTCTGGCGCCGGGCAGGACCGCGCTCCGGCCGTGCCGCGACAGCTGGGCGGCCCGCGGGCTGCGGAGCTCCAACCCGTTCACCCGCCGGCAGGAGGAGGAGTGGCGGCGGCGGAACCGGACGGTGCTGACTTACATCGCGGCGGCCGCCGTGGGCATGGTGGGGATGTCGTACGCGGCCGTGCCGCTGTACCGCCTGTACTGCCAGGTAGCCCCGCGCGCCCCTGGCATTACCCCGCCAGCCCCCGCCCGCCCCCGCGGCGCTCCGGGCGGCGCCGAGCGCGGCATTTCTGCCTCTGTGTCCGCAGGCGACGGGGCTGGGCGGAACCACGGGCGCGGGGCGCGGCGCGGAGCGGCTGGAGAAAATGCGGCCCGTGCGGCAGCGCCCGCTGAAGGTGACGTTCAACGCGGACGTGCACGCCGGACTGCAGTGGAACTTCCGGCCCCAGCAGAGCGAGATCTACGTGAGTTGCGCCGGGTTTGCCCTGCCTGGGGCCGTCCCGGCTCGGGCTCCCAGCCCTGCAGGACGCGCAGCTGCCGCAGCCGCGGGGTTTGCCAGGCACGGCTCACCGCTCCGTTTGAGCACCGATAGGGATTGCTGCGCGGTGCCCTCCTGCAGCCCTGCGCTCACAGCTCCGTGTGCTCACCGTGCGGGTGAGATGCAGAGTGCACACGTACACCGACACAGCTTAATACACAATGGGGCAGGTTGTCCCAAAGCAACACATTGACAAAGTTACAGAGAAAGTTCTCCTGCAGGTCGTACCTGGAGAGACGGCGCTGGCGTTCTATAAAGCAAAAAATCCTACAGACAAACCAATAATTGGGATCTCTACCTACAACGTAGTGCCCTTCGAAGCGGGACAGTACTTCAACAAGATACAAGTGAGTGAGCACGGATATGAATCGTTATTTGTAAATTATTTCTTCTAATTTCAATCCTGGGTATCATTCTAAATATGCCAACATGTTAAGAAAATACCTTAATTCCTCATTTTTAGCCTTACCCTCTTCATAAAAAGCATTAAAGAGGTTCCCAGTTCCCTGGCATTTGGTACAACTGTTGTCCTCTTGCTCATACAGTTGATCCTTCCCCAGGCTACAGGGATGTACAGGGAACGAGAGTTAAAAGATGAAATGTTCCCATACTTTTGCAGAGAAAGTTCACAGTTTTTGTCTCATTTTTTTTCCTTCCCCCTGTAGTGTTTTTGTTTTGAAGAACAGTGGCTGAATCCTCAAGAGGAAGTGGATATGCCTGTCTTCTTCTACATCGACCCTGAGTTTGCAGAGGACCCCAAAATGGATAAAGTCGATTCGATCACCCTCTCTTACACCTTTTTTGAAGCAAAGGAAGGACAGCACTTACCGCTCCCTGGCTATCAGTAACGGGCAATCCCTACCCCTGCCTTCAGCTCCCTGACTGCTATGACATCATTCTTCTACAAAAAGAAAAGCTGGAGGAGCACTGTGAGACATGATAGAATTATTAAACTACTGTGGGCGCATGCTGGTGTTACGGAAGCATGTGCTTCTTATTTAACCTTGTACAGTTGGAATGTTACCTCTTAGGAGTAGTACTTCATCAGAAGACAGAAGGGATCTCTTTGTGGAGTAGAAAGTTGTCTCAAAGCCATCCTTGTATCAGATGATACATGCTTAATAAATTCCATGAGGCAAATTTTTAAATCTAAGTGTAAATTGAGATATGTAAATTTAGAGGAACAAATCAGTTTATTAAATACCTAACACTGCATTGCTGGCTTTGAAAAATAATTAACTTACCTTTATTCAGTGAAAGGTTTTTACTTCTCAGTAGCAACCTAATCAGTTCACGGACTCTCAAAACTTGACTGTATTGCTTCATAGCCTTCCCACAGCACAGGAAGATGGGATGATTTGAAGATGATGCTCCTTCTTGAATTATTACTGAATCAGTAGTTCATTTGGTAAGAGCAGACTGCTCTAGAATTGTTGTTTGAGTGAGGAACAGTAATTTAAGCATAAGCATTTTGAATCTGTGGACTGCTTGGAGAAGCATTTGACTTGGAAGGGAAGTAATCTTATTCTTGTGTTTATAAATTTTCTGCATAGCTTCCATGTAGGAAACTCATTTAAAATACCAGCACTGTTACAGATTCCTCTTTCAGTCCTGCGAGGGCTGTACACTGGGCACCTCTATACAGAGAGAAGCTAGACTTGGGTCAGAAAAGTGCTGAAGGGAAAGACAGTACACAGCAACTGCTCTGCATCACAGGCTAAAGTACCACAGAGGCATCTCAAAAACCAAAAGGATGTCGACAAGTCTGCCCAGAAACACACCAGCTGATCAGAGTACATCTGAGTACTCACTGTTTACCACTAGAACACGTAACCCTGTATTTATGTAACTTTTTGTTATTATCTGGGGGGGGAAGGGATAATAACACTTTATCATAACCCTGCAAATAAGGACTGAGTTGCATAGCAAGTTTAAGTGATGTAGGCATTTTCAGACAGAGATTAATCTCAGTTGAGTATCTCACCTACTAGGCCAGTTTTTTCTACCCCTTCAGTGGATGATATCTCAGAAGATAAGACTGATGTTGTTTCTGAAGACTCTAAAAAGGTACTGACTATATTGTAAGTTGCCTTAGTCTCAGTTATGTTTGCATACAACAATAAGAATGGTGCCCTCTGAAAATACGCAGGTGCTACCTTCAAAATGCATTTTTGTACTGAATACCTCGTGTGTTTAAAAGGATTCTGGATGATGTGTCATGCTTTCACTGTATTTATTAAAGTTTAAAACTACCATTAGTGCTGTTGTATCTCTAATATGCTTTATCCAGCAGAATGTGGATCCCACACAAGTGGAATGTATCTGCATGAAAAGACCAGCAAGCTTTATAATAAATCTGTAATTCCAGTTGTGTTCAGAAAAAAAAGTTAAAGACAAATCTTAGAATCCAGGCTAGGGAAAAATAACAGTAAAATCTTACCTTGCTTTTCTTTACTTCTTTGTCATTTAGAAAAATGAGCTGATCCTGGAAGTCCTCTCTACACCTTCCTTTGTTCTGGCCACGTGTTTTAGAAGAAAATATCCTCTTGACAAATGCTGCTTCCATAAAGGCTGCCTTCCCCTGAGTTTGAAAGCCCAAGTCTGCACAGATACTGAGCACATCCCAACGATGAAACAAGCTCTGTAACCTCAGTGATTAGCCAGTTCCCTTCACAGTTTTTACCTATCTGTAGTCATTTTCCTTCCTTAAATATTGACAAGTTCAATTAGCAATCATTTCATTATGGGTTACCCTTGAAATAGGCTATTTAAAACTTAGATTTGGCCTGCTAGGGTCTGCATATAACTAGGCTGTAGGAAAAGTCATCCATCTCAAATCTTATTTTCAACTGTCTTAAGCTGCTTTCCAGATCACTCTAAACAATGCAAGAAAAATAACAGCAGAGGCTTACCTTTTCACCTTTGCTTACAAGCCCCCCCACCTTCCAACAGATTCTACTGGTTCTACACCCAGCTGCAACCTTGAGAACCAGATACTTGAAACACCACGGATCCACTCAGCTTCTTCCAATACTGTCTGCATTTAGAACATGCACGTCAGCTACAGAAAGTAGTAATGGGGCTTAACTATTCAGTAAGAATTCGTTTTTATTTGGAATTCTATGCTACAAAAATTCCTTAAGGCTTAAGTGTTTGTGTCACTTAAACAAATAACCATGAGCACTTAAAATGCAGTACTTAAAGATGAAGTTAGCTTATCAGCTATAAACATAAACCATGTTCTCAAATTTTTTTTATCAATTACAAATTCAGAGAACTAGATCTGTAAAGTGCAGATTTTACATTCAGCATTAAAATAGACAAGGCACTTAAACTATTAAGAGATAAAAGCAGCTTTAAATTACTTGATTAAAATAAATGGATAACTAGTGCTCATTTGCATTGTAGATGGATATTTTTCCTTCACCAGAACAAGAAGCTGCAGAGCAGGAACACTGGAAACAATAGTGATCCCTTCCACTATTTACTAATAACCACAACATGGCAACACACAGCTTTTTTCTGCTCTGTTAATCACAGATGACAGCACTGGATGTCCCAGCTCAGCTTCTTACCAAGACAAAAATCCTATTAATTTGTGGGGTTTTGCAAAGAAAACAAAATCCATATTCAGAATATAAATGTCAAAAAGTGATGACTGTGTATCTTTCATATCTATCAAGAGGCTCAATTTTAGATAAGTCATACATTTCAAGAAATATATATATTTATAGGGAGAGAATTTCACAGACATCAACATGGCCAAAACAGAAATAGGATTATGTAGTATGAAAGAACAGATTAAGGTGGAAGAAAAGCTTTCTTCTATAGCTGTGAGAGTGCTTTTAATTTACTTGGTTTTGATGTCATGTGCTACCTCATACACAGGTGACTTCGAAAATTATATTCTGAAGGCCACAATACTTAAAAAAATAGCAATCATGTAAGTCACCTGGAACAATACACAGTTGAACATTCAAGACCAATTCTCAAGGTGTGGATCCAAGTACTTGTCCACTTCTCATTGCTCTTTGTTCACGTTACACGAAGCAGAGCCCAGGAGCAGCACCAGAGTAACTTCTGTGTTCAGATCTCCACCTTCAGCATTCTGAATGCTTTTCAGCTTCTGGCTTCAGCACAGCAGCATCAATTTCTTCATAAATTGCTCTGGCAGAAGAAGAACAGGGCAACTCTTATGTCACAGCTCTGTTTTATTTAGACAAAATGCACCAATTAAGTCCTGGCTGGGAGTTTATGTTGTTTATCTAATATGTACAAGCTGCAGGATGCTCAGCTTTCCACATTAGCAAGGAGCCCATCCTGAGATGTCTGTGATTGTACGCTGACTGAGATCTCTCTGGAAATGGTCACTTTTGATCAAATAAACATGACTGCAAAATGCAAATGGCCTCCATGCCATGAGATGTGCAATTACTACGCTAGTTCAATAAATAAATGAAACCTTTGTTGAGATCTTTCTACCTCACAGTTTGATGGTTCCTTGAAAGTAACTTTTGTGCAGATGACTCAAATCTTCTCAATTGACTGTTAAAAGGAGAGTGCTGCCACGTGGTTGGTTTATACTGGTTTTCTGCCTAGTTGGCTGTCCGGAGAGGCCCAGCTTGTACTGGTTGCTTATATTTTAAATTCAGGATCTTCTTGAGATTCAGCAAAACATTAAAATAAGGTTGTTATGAGCAGGAATTACTTCACAGAATCATGGTATGGTTTAATTTAGAAGGGACCTTCAATGATAATCTGATCCAACCCTCTGCCATGGGTAGTGACATCTTTCACTACATCAGCAGCTCAAAGCCCAGTCCAACCTGATTCAAACTCTTCCCATGGTTGAGCAACTTGTTCCAGCGTCTCAGTGTAAAAAATTTCTTCCTTATGTCCAGCCCAAATCTATTCTCATTCTGCTTACAGCCATTATCCCTCATCCTGTGACAAGACGACCTGGTAAAAACTCATCCACCTTCCGTATGAGATCCTTTATGTACTAGAAGGCCACAATATAGGGTCCCCAAAGCTCTTCTCCAGGTTAAGCCATCCCAACCCTCAGCCCCTATAGGAGTGGTGTTCCAGCCCTCTGATCTTTTTCATGGCCCTCTAAATGTGCAAGTCACTCTGCTCCAGAACTACCTGTGTTGAAACATCAACTGGCTTCCTCCACTACAGCCCAACAGCGTTGTATTCACCTTTTCCTATCACTTAATAGGATTTTATTGGATAGTTTTTGACATAGCACTACTTCACCATTTTTGCAGATGCTGATTACTGGGCACACTACAGGAGCCTATTCCTTAATCAGTTAAGCAAGGAGTAATAATAAAAAAAAAAAAGCTCCAATCCAATTGGTCACTTAACTCTGCCTAAACAGTATGGTCTGTTTCCTCACTCAGAAGAAAGCCATCTCAGAAGCCCTTTTGCCTTTGGCACCTAAGAGAACTGTAAATTACTTTAAAAGCTACTTACTCTGTAGGAGCCAAAGGATCAAATTCCATTATCTCGTAGTAATGAGGTGTCTGCAACTTGTTCTTCGATGCAGCTGAAGGGTAAATACAGACAGATAAATCCAGATTTAAACATAACTAATAGCACGTTTTATGAATGTTACTTTTTTATTTCTTTCTGAAACAAGCATATTATCTAGTATCTAGTTGCTTTAAATACTAAAATGGGCAGAGAAAACCATGAACTATATGAGTTTTTGTCAGTGTTTGATGCTGCTCTAGTCTTTAACAGGCATTATACAAAGCATTTAAGTGCTAACAAGAAAATAAATCTCCATTAAAGTTAAGTGGTCTGCAGTAATATTACCTGGTGGCGATGGTCCACTTGATGATGTAGTATGTCCAGCCTGTAGATTTACTGGATTCAGAGGCACTGGGCTTAAAAGAGTTGCCAGCTGAAGGAATCAAGCAAAACAATGCACAGATCTGTGAGAAACTGCTGACTTCAGACTCTTGGACTAAAACAGGTAAATTCTGAAGGCAGGCCAAAGTTCATAATCCTAATTAATCTCCCTTCCCCACACAATTAAGTTGGCATGGCCACAAAATACAGAGCATTCAATGATGACTGTGACACAGAACAGGTCCCTGTGTCCCATCTGGACAGCAGTCAGGGTAAATCTTTTTGACACTTGAAGAACAATAATTCTGAAGAGGAGTGCTACTCACATTGCTATACGTATGTCCAGCTGGGGTGCTCACACTATTGTTTTGTGCTTCAGTTGCAAATCTAGGAGAGTAATACATTGAAAGTAACTGAGAAACTAGTACAGCTAAATATTCTGATCACTGCATTATTCTTATCTGCTGTGCTGTCTTTACCTTAAGTCACAACTGAGAGCAGCATGAGCAAGTGCTCCATTTACGTAATAGGTGGAAAACTGCAAGGATTCCTTTTTCTATTTTAAACTGTTCTTGGTCTGTACAATTCATCTGTTTCTCCCCTTAGCTACAGCACAGGCAAGACTCAAGCAGAAAGTCAACAGATATCTCAAGTATCTTGAGATCAGTTCATGGTTATGACTAAAAGGTGCTTCAGGGTTAGTAAATATTTTAAGCATGTTAAGCAATGCCTAGCACACGGAGTTTTCACTTTTCTACTGGACTAATCTGTAGAAGTATTAAATAACTTCTTTTTTCCAGAGCTTTCCATAAAAATTCCTTGTCAGTTACAGCAGACTCATAGTTCTGATTATCTGCTATCATTTCTTGACAGATTACTCACGGGAACTGCTGAACTTTCACAGCAGCTGCTAAATCTAGCTGGGGGTAAATGGATGGATGGAGCCTTTTTGTATCTTCAGGGTGTGCAGATATGGAATCTGAAATTCAAAGTGATATTTAATGATCATTTAAGCGTTATTAAGCAAATGTTCCTTACTTGTACTATGACCAATGAAGTTTTGTTTGGAAGGCATATAAAGAACACAGAACCAATTGTGTTTATTGTGACAAAGACAAAATTGTAACTGAAGTTAGGAGATTTAGTCACTCCTTGCACTATGACAGAAGTCTGACGTCAGAGAAGGCAAAGTGCCCTTCTCAAAGTGAACTGCTGTTGACATCAAATGCCTCCTTGAAAAAACACAGGAAATCAAGAATAAAAGAATATCTCAATTTCTTTCTTCCAACCTACAGAACAGGCAGCTATCACAGTTTCATAAAGAACGTTCTTTTGCTCACATTGAAATGCAAGACTGAGATCACTGCTCTCCCTCTAAAAATATTAGAAGGAACCTTATGCCATCTTGTATTTATTTATTTTTTTTTAACACGCACACCCAAATTATCATGTTTTATCAGCTTATGGACACCTTTCTTTCAAGAAACTACTAGATCGCTCCACTACGCTCATGTTGGTTTGTTTTAAGAAATCAGAACGCCAGGGAAACATGCATTCATCACTTACTAGGACTTGGAAACTGAAGTGCTGCAGGGTCAGTCCCCAACACTGCAGCCACAGGAGATGGAGAATCTGTAGAGAAGTCAAGGAGATCACTGGAGGGAGCAGATGGCTGTTTCCTGTACAGCTTAACATTCAAAAAGAAAAAAAGCTATTAAGAAGAGAGTAGGAAAAAAGGAACATGTAGTTTTACATAAGCTGTCATTTTTACAGAAGGTAAATGTTTGAAATCAGATTTGTCACTAACCAAATGCTCCTATAAGTGTCAGCGATATCAGATTTAATGGAGTGGGTGGGGGCTGTGGAAATGCTAGCTAATGGACCAGAGAAGATTTCCAGATAACACACATTGCAGCAAGCTGACTCAGTTCCAAAGCGTAACTGTGAGTTTGCTCAGACTCTGACCTTCAACACTCATACATTTCTTACTGGGGCTATTTTGATTTGATAAGTACTTAGGGAATGGGTGTTCTTCCAGTTTCGATTTTGGCAGGAAAACTTCAAAATCACAACGTTTCCCAGAGCACAGGAGAAAGGTTTGCCTTGTTTCTCTGTCAAAGTGTGAGAATTAAAAACGTAGCCGAAGTTTTTAATCAAAATCACGTACTTGAATCAGATATGGGTTTGGCCACACCAGATTGAGAGAAAAAAAATAAATCCATTTTACCATGGAAATTCCTGGATAAAATACAAATGCACACAGTGCACCATTCAAACCATCCTTTAATCCTACAGTGCCTCAATGGAGCAAAATCATCTACCTACATAACCAGACTGCAGCAACAGCAGATTTTCCAAAGGAAACAACATCGTCTTCTACCTTTCTTTAATAACAATCAGCTGTATTTCAGCTTCCACGAAGCAGTCATTTTCCTACTGAGCCCTGGATGACTGTGCAATTATGGCTTACGAGAAGCTGAAATGTGCAGAACTACTTTGCGCAATATAATTAACAACCATAATTATCAATCAATAATGGACAGCCAGATTTGCTACAATCCATTATTCAGAACTCAGAAAAGGCTTTGACTGCAGAAGAAAAAAACCAACCTCAGTAATAGTGAATTCTGATTGTGTAACGCATTTTAGTCTGTAAATGTCTACAGAGAATAAAAGCAACATTACAGTTTCTCATTTCACGTATGGAAAATAATTGTGCTTAGCTATAAAGGTAATAAAATTCAAGTAAATCTCATTTTCCTTGATCAAGCTTCCACCTGACATTGTTTTTTGCTTTAGTTAAATCTGCATGAAATTCTGCAATACATTATTAAATATATAGTTAATATATATTTAATATCTATATATTCAGTAAATATATAGTTAAATCTGCATGAAATTCACAATACATTATTACAAAACATTACAAAACATACAATAAAGAGACAGTTTTCACAATGAAGAGAAAATGGGAAGCTTGCAGTCCTGCAGCTCACAATTCATCCATCACTACTCACCTCTTCACGTTCACGCTGTATTCTCTGGTTCTCCAAAAATCGAACTCTGTTTCGAGAGAACCTGTTGGAATGGCAAAGCTAAAGGTTCGTTCTGACATTTCTGTTGTGCTGCATAACAATCTGGCAGCTATAAGCAAAGCAGCCCTCATTATTTCAGGCACTTTAATTGAGGAAAAAAAAAATTGGTTTTGAAAAGAAATCCCTGCAAAATATGTTTGTGTACTGATAGGCAAAATGGTGCTACAGTGGGACCAGAGGAGCTAGATGAACGTCAGCACCTTAAGGCCAATCTGTTACAGAAGGAAAGGCCTGAACTGGCACGGATACGAGACTGGCACATACTGCACTTGATGTTCAGGCCCACCATGCTGGTGAGGCCCATAAGGATGACATAAATGCAAAGAGGGGCAGGAGAACAAAACCTTTCCAACAGCGGAACAAGCATTTGTCCAAAATACATTAAGAACAGAGTTGCCAGGGCCACTAGAGGGAGTCATCATTACATACACGAGGCCAGCGTGCTTCACAACGGTGACTGCTCCTGATTTCATTTAGACTCTACACAAATAATCAGAAACAGAGAATGCAGCATGACTTGTCTTCAAACAATGCACACAGCATGGAACAGATGCAGCTGGTTAAAATAAGTTTGTCTTTTACACATCTCATTTTCAGAGGGAGTTCCAAAGAACAAACCTGTAACAAGCATTAATCAAATAAATCTTAATACTTAATCAACTGCCATGTGCAAAGGCACCTGCACTCAGGAAGACTCGTTACAGTAAGCCACAACATCACAGTGCTGAGAGGCACAGCCTTCTGCCCATTTCACAATGGCCTATTAATTGCTCCTTCAATCACCTGGTGAGTCCTCCACAAGGAATTTTTTAAATCATGCCCACAAGCTGCTATTCACAACTCATGAGGCTCGTGGCATTGCCAGCACTCATCAGCCTTAATAAACATCTAAGCCCACCTCTGACTAAAGTGGATTTCACAGGATCATTTAGGAGGATGCAAACTGCTGAACATGGAAGGCTCGCTCCCATTGAACAAGAATATTCTCCACGAGTATGTTCACCATGGTATTTTGGAAGAAAATGGTGGAATTCTGAATTTATGTTTCATTTCATTTTTGCCAGCACCTCATCAAGCTGCTGCTGCCATAACAGGCAAACACATGAGATGTCAATACAAGCACTGCAGTGCTTCCATGTGTGAAGAAACATTTCCTGCTGTAAGGCAGGTAGAACAGCTTGTTTCGATTCAGTTGAGAAAAGCAAGCGACTCTCTTCAGCATGCAATAAAGCAGAACGCTATTCCATGGCCAATTTCTGCAGTTAAGGCTGTCAAAGTTGTTCAGAAAGGACAGTGAATATTCCTTCCTGGAATTGTATATATATAAATGCAGTGACCATCACCAGACCCGAAAGATTTGTAGCAGACTGATGGCAAATCCACCATGCTTGACAAGAAAGGAACACCAAATTCCAAAATGATTTTTGTGTGCCTCCATCTCACTTCCTGCCTATGCTGTCAGCTTGTTTTACCACATTCTGATGGTCTTATAACTACCATTACCGACTGCTTCTGATGTGCCCAGGGGAAGGCAAACAGATTATCTGCTCCTGTTGTTATCACACCTCTTTCTGGATGTATGGAAAAATCCGCCTCCTTGGAAAGATTCAGCACTAGTCCCACAGACTGTAGCCACCAGGTGTGCTTATCCAGTTCGGACCGCTTACCTTTCGTGTCCCAGGAGAACATTATTCAGATCTTCATTTACTTGTATTAACTCTATTATCACATCTTCATTCTCCACTGTCACCAACAGCTCCATGATCCGTTCCTGCATCATCCGACACGTCTTGTACAGCTTCTACCCAAAGAAGGGGAAGAAAAAATCTGAAATCACAACCGTGTTCTCCTAATTTCAGTTTTGGAGAAGAATGATAAGACAGTTGAGCACAGGAGGCTCGCAGCTCACGTCCCTTCATTTACACAAACCACACACATACCAAGCATTGCAAATAGTGTGATTTTCATGTCTTTGATCTCTGCAAGGCCATGCTGACAACTCCTATCATCAAACCAGCACTCCTACCCCTACCAGCCCCTACCCATGACCTACCTTCATTTCTGAGGATACAGCTGTCTCTAAAGTCTAAATTACAAATTAGAGAATAATGAAGACTCCTCTGGGTGATGCAGAGTAAATTTGATTTGAGCCTGATTGAAGCTGATTAAACTCAGTAGGATACTTCACATGAATGTAATGAATGTGATCCAGGTTCAACATCTGCTAGAAGGAAAGACAATGGTAGTCTAAAGGATAAAGTGCTCTGTGACATCACTGTGTAGCCCTAAGTCCTCCTCTCAGTGGGGAAGTCTGGATGCTCCTCACCCATGCACTTTCTCATGCATTGGCACAAACCTAGCATTACCATCCGGTGTGATATTTATGAGATCTTTCTCAGCAGAACGTTGCATTACTGCCAGCTAAAATGGTGGTTAGTTTATTTACATTTCTCTCCCCTGCAGGTTTTGCCTGTTCAAAGAAACACATTCTTTAGCATCAGAAGCTTCATCTCAGCCAAGATTCTTTTCCCACAGTGTATTTTTGCGAATGCTGGCTGGCTCTGCTTAAGGTAAAAAAAAAAAAAAAAAAAAAAAAGGGAGGGCAAAATACTGTTTGCACACTGCTATTCAGAAAGGGCTCTGGTATTATTTTCAAAGTGTTCTTGTTTTTCTCAAGAAACATAAGCTTTGTTTAATTCTTTAATTTATTATGTAAGAAGAAATGTTCCACCCCTCTGCCAAATCTGCATACACATTACTTTATTGCTCACTATTGTATCTTCACCCATCCAGGATAGAACACACAAAAATGTATGCAGCTCAATGAATACAATTAAATTTTAAACCTCTTCAGCTCCACATCTTATAACCTTGTCCACACCTCAAAAATGTCTATTTCTTATGAATCCATTTTACAGGCAATTTTCTTTGTAAAACTGAATAAATCACGAAGCAGTAAATCGTGATGCTCATTTTGAGGAAGAACTTAAACGTTTTATTCTGACTCACCATGAAGTCCAGCATTTTGAACACTGGAATTTACAGCAATGCACTACCAGCTCATATAAAGCCATCGGTGATCCCAATGAACTCGTGCCAATGTTCCCCACCTGGCAATGTGGGCCTTAATTCCTGCACATCCATCAGACATGCCTGTTCACTGCCCAGTACAAACATTTGTGGCTCTTTCAGCTTATAATGGGCTTCTGGTATTCTTCAAAAACTGTTACTGGCAAGCACAATGTTTCATGTGAGATTTGCTATCCTTAGTCCAGAACAGGGTGGGGAAAGGCTGGAAGCAGTCATTCACCAAACTGCAGAACCAAAAATACGTTGCACTGATGAAGTTTACCCCCTTAAAGGTTTTTACTCAGAGACCCTGGATAATCAGAAGGGCTGATACTCATCTCTCCCACTCACTCAAAGCCTAAACAAAGAGCTCTTGTAACAAAGGACTTTGTTCTCCAGCAACAAAAGCCTAACACAAGAAATCCAGGTAAAGCCACAAGCAAACATGCATGTTAAACATGGTTAAAGAAACAGGCTGGCCATGCTTGGTGTTCTGTACCACTCAGTGCATGGAGGAAAAGAACAACAATGAAATTAACATAGAAGGAATGAGTTTTTAGTCACTCCCCCACAAATGGGAACTCCACACCCTGTCCTCAAACTTTTGCCAACAATTTTATTACTGGGAGTGTCAATAAGAATCCACTGGTTTACTGTGGACAACCCAGTGTGTGCGCCTGCATGCAGAAGGGCTGCTCTGTAGGAGCCAGGAAATGAAAGGCACCCTTCCTGTTTCACAGCTGAAATATCCCTGGCTCACTGGCCCTTCCTCCTTGGACCTGCGGCTCTACAGATCTCTGCCAGAGACAGCAGTGGAGGTGCCAGGAATTTCCTGGGGAGCAGAAACCCAGCGATTGATTCTGTCTCCTATCTGGTTCCCACCCACCAGCAGTGCTGATGGTCAATGGTGGTCATTAAAGGTGAGACACAGTGGTCAACTAGTGCTATCTTCCTAAATCTCAGCCTTCAGCTGAGAACCAACACAAAAAAAGGATGCAACTGAGCAGTGTAACCCTGAAGGCAAACAAACAGTACCCAGAAAAATTCCCTGCAAAGGAAGAATTCTCCACACCAAAGTCTTGCAAAAATTATATCAGTTCTTCAGTGCATTCATGTTGACAAATTACCAAAACTGTTTCCTTGTCACAGAATTTTGGAGGTAAGTTTAGAAAAAGAAGGACATGATAAACTTCTTTATTTCTTCCAGAAAACATGAAACATCAAGATGTCCATTTAACATAAAAAGCTGTTGAAATGCTCAACAACGCTACATTTCAAATTTCTGAAACAGAAAAAGTATGAGCAAGTAGATCGTATGCATCTTCACTATCAAACCTAAACTTGACTATTGCAAGACACTATTTCAGGCTACACTTCAAGAGCACGTGGCTCCATCTAACGTGCAGCAAGCTTCTGGGCTTTGAGGTCATGTACAGAAACCCAAAGCCTCATTTTCTTCACTGTCCTTCAGTTTGCCTTTAAGGTATTGGCAATAATAAAGAGAGCTCTGAAAACTCCAGGACGGATATGAGATATTGTGTCATCACTTGTTTTCCCAGCAGGCAACTGCGCTCACCTGGAATGTTTCTCAGGGCTGTTTGACAGAACATGCTTAACAGAGAATGCTCCATTATGAAATTCCTTTGCCCTTGGAAGTCCCTACAGCTTAAATTTACCTTGCAAGCTGCATTGTCCTTTCATGACTATCTAGATGTCAGGGAAGGTAAAGAGACTAGAGGAACTGAGCAAAATCAGAGGCAGAAACTTGATGTTGGTTTGATTTTGCCATCTAAATTCCGATGTTACAAGAAAGGATACAACAGATCTAAAACCAGTTGTGTTCAAATTAACAACCCCATCAATGAATTACCTCATACCTGTAAAAGATTCATATCATCTGGATTTTCAGAGCCAGGAACATTTTCTTTCAATATTGATGACATGACTCTCACATTCATTTTCGCCATATCCAGTTCACTGTACAGTTTCCCAATCTGTTCATTTCAACAGGACAGAATATTGTGCAGGTGAACAGAGAGAGCAAAGTAATTCTTACCTCTAATACGTACTTTCTTCCCCATTAGGCATAACATGGGTCTAATTAGCATTATTTTACTCCACTGACATTCTATGGAAATTAGCTCAGTTTTTATACATCCAATCACACTAAGACCTAAGCCCAAAAGTACTAGTGGTTTCCTATACATGTAGTGCTTCTCTAAATACTGAGAAGACTTTTTAGTTAACTGCAGGCCAAGTGGGATCAGAAGCAAACTGTCCCTTCCTTTCTGCTTTTAAGTACAATTTCTTCACATGAGTCTTGTCCAAAACTAAGTTTGGCTTCCTCACTCATCTCTGAAGTATCTTTTATCAACATGCATAACTTGCTCCTAAGAGATCAGCAGAAATTCTTAGCTCAAGCGAACTATTCCACTCCCTGGCTGGGTACAGCCTGGCATTTACCCAAGTGATTTCTGCATGCTTTGTTTTGGCAAATCACCATACGAAACATCTTTAGGTGAACAAATCTAGAACCATGAATAATGAACTATGCTTCTTGAGATGATGGTTCCATCTACGACCTGCAATGCTGAAATTGCATGTTCCTAGCATGTTTCAGGTGGAATGCCCCTCCCCTCCAAGCCTGTGGTACTGTACCTGTTCAGGTATCAACAGTAACGTTGGGCCCGTGGGAAGAGGCAACAAAGAACGTTTTGGGGGATTAGCAGAAGATGGTGATGACTTTGCAGAAGATGGGGACTGCTAGAAGACAAAAGAGCAGAGCTTGCATTTAACAGAGGAATTGAAACCGACTTCCAGATGAGAAGAAGATGAGAATCTGGAATGAGAACCAGGCATTAGCTTTCAAATAACCAATGCTGAGCAAGCTCTATTTGTATGAATGAGAGTAATAGCTAGTTTGTAGCAGGTTGGAATTTGAGAATGTTTTTCAATTAGTTTGCTTAGTAAATTCCACTACAGACAAAGCAGGAATGGCTGAGAACAAGCTGTCTGTCCTTGACCCCTGAAGCCATCTGACAGTGAGTCCTACCTTAAGTGCTACCACAGTTCTACAACCACGGGCGGTTTAGAATGCATTCACACATGGAAAGAGTGACAGGCTGGGGGGTTGCACTTGTGTTACAACTGAACTGACTGCAGCAGAAGGCAACCCTGCACAAGACTGTATACATCACATGCTTAATCTCACAGAGACTGAGCTATAGATTGTATCCAGGTCTGCTGCAGCTAAGATTGACAGGTTTGCAACAGAATTTAATGGACTGAAATATGCGGTGGACAGAACTGTCTCTTATTGCAACTGGTAAGGAAAAAATTGTTGTCTAGCAAAAGCACTCTCTTTCAATTGTTCAAGATACAGCTTGTTTAAACAGCCTTAAATACATGAGTTTTTGCACTCTTTGCTATTCAGTCGTTGAATCAAACTCAGTATAACGATATCCTTCCTGTCTACACTGATTACAGTCATCTAACTCTGTAATTGCAAGGTTGCACCCAAAGGTGAACAGCTTTCACATATCCCAAGTCTCGTGAAAACTTTTCTAACAGAAAAATTCTGGAAATAACTGCTGGAAAGCATGGATAGCACGTACTGTATTTTCAGCCAATATCCCATGCTCAAGCCATATTTATATTTAATGTATCCCAGATGCTACACAATGATATTTAACATACATATGCCTAAACACAAAGGTAGAAATTAGCTACAGGGTCAAACATTATTGAATGTAAGTTATGCAAACAGCTATGGAGAGATACAGGCAACAGACCTCTCTTGGAGATCTGTACCTCTCTCAGATTAAAATTAAAAACAGACACTGTTCCAGGGAGATGTTATTGCAGCCTTCTAAATAATCTAAAGAAACTATTTACTCTGAGTGTGGTGAGGCATGAACCAGCCTGCCTAGAAAGGCTGTGGATGTCTCCTCCCTGGAAGTGTTCACAGTCAGTCTGGATGAGATCTTGAGCAACCTGGTGTGGTGGGAGGTGTCCCTACCAATGGCAAGGGGATGGAACTGATGCTTAAGGTCCCTTTCCAACCCATACCATTCTATAATTCTTTGAATGCTCGAATTCTGAATGGCATGTTTTCAGGCAAATCTTACTCATTTTAGTTAAGGCTTCCAAAAGCTGACAAGTTTCAAGCATTCATCTCTCATTCATTTTGAGGCAAACTGGTTGCTCAGATTTTTCAAATGCTCTGGAAGTCTCAAGAGACAGAAACTTCCTCTTTAAGAACAGATCTACTATTCCGTGGTTTTAAATAAAAGACACTATTATATAGGACAGGTTTCTTTGTTGTTATCTTAGCTGCTGTAATTGAAACTGATTTCTGCTCACATGCTTAAGTAGATTGGTCATACTCTGCCCTGGAGCATTTAGAAAACAAAACAATAACGTACACACCTTCTGTGTCTACAGAGCTCATACAATTAACACATCCTGCTTCTGATTTACAGTGGATTAATGAGGCATCCCTGCATATCCCCACCTTAGACCTTTCTTTGCTGGTAGCAGAAGATGGAAACTCCACTCCTTTCTTCAGCAGTTCCAGATAAACTTCTTTTACTTCGGTCACATCCACCATTCCTTGGAACCCTCGAGCCCATATCTGGTTTTGAAATAACAGTCACAGAAATGGACAGTCAGTTGGGGCAGACAAACTTTTCTAAAACATAAAATCCTAAAGGCATTTTCTCCATGTGAACAGCACGTTTTCAGCCTCTATCTGCTCCAGCTAGCTCCAGTTTAAAACACGAGAAAGACTGCAAAACTCTCAAGTTCCCTCTCACCCTGCTTATCACCACAGAGGGGAGCAAATACACAGACTGGGAGAGGAATATAAAAGGCAGAGGCTGACAGTTTTCCAGGACTCTTTCTAGTTCTGTCTTCTTGTCTTCCACTCTGCGCTACCCCTGCACGAAGCAGAAGAATAAAGCCCACGAAAAAGGTTTCCATGAGTACACTGCAGGAGAGAAATGAGATGCATATAAAGCAGAGAGACAAACAGCCAGTGTTTGCTCTGGGCTCACCATGATGAAGGTCAGGATTTTCTCCTGCAATTCAATGGGCAGGTTGTATCTGGGGTTCAGCAGTTTCACCAGCTTGTCCTTGCAGAAGTCCTTCTTCACAACTAATGACTGGAACCTTGGACCACAGTTCTGCATACACATGTCTAGCAGCTGCAACCACAAGAAGCTTCTGTTACGTAGATGTAAGGAAAAGAAAACCTTTACTTCCTTAGTTTATGCCAAGGTGTTGCAGGGAAAGAGTACTAATGGATCTGAACAAATTATTGCCAGTAGTCTCACAGTGCTGTCTGAGGAGGTTACTGCAGGGAAACAAAAGTTCAGCATGTGCACTTCTACTGCTATGCACGTACAAAATGAGATGGGTTACCCAGAATTAAACTATTTTTGACAGCGAAGCCCAGCCAAGCTTGTTTCCTTGTCACAGCAGTTACTGAACACGTCATACCTTAACGGTGTGAAATCTGTCCGTAGCCTGAAAGAAATGACTTGTATAAGACGATTAATTTAATGCCTAGCAAACAGGTCCCCTGGTCTGACAGATTCTGAAGAGCTCTGCAGATGAAGAAAACAAGCTTACTAAGTGCCTCTCTTCTAATCTGCCCTCTAATGTGAGAGACTAATGAAAAAATAGAAAAGAACAAATTCAACAACTCAGAGCACAATTTCTCCGCGTGTTTTAAAGGTCACACTGATTTGAAACAGAGCAGGTGAATTGTTCCAGTTGTCAGATTCATCTCCACTACAGCTGTCTACTTTCAAAACTGCCTGGAACGCTCAGAATGGGATCTCTGCAAGCAGCACATCAGCCCTATCAAACACAGCACGTGTCATCGTGACGTTACACCTCTCCTTCATGCACCTGGAGACGGCTGGCTGCAATTCCCTTTTTGCAGAAGAGATATCAACAGCTATCAGTACATCCTAACCATCTGGAATCAGGCCAGTACAGGTTTTGTTAGGGAGCTGGGGCTGATCACAATCAGAACTCATCTTGCCTGGCACAAAACTGGAGATCAACTAAGGTACTACGATGCTCCACACACAGAAAGAACACTCACTTGCACTTTTCACTCTTCAACCTTGTCTTTTCTCTCTTGATTTGAGAGCGAGGACAGAAAGGTGAAAGCAAAGGGCAGAATTCATGAAAGTTTGCAAAATTCTGTGGCTTTAGAGTCATAAAACTTCCCCAGAATCATGCATCAGGCAGAACCCAGTCACAAAAGGATACAACAAATTTAAGGCTGCTACTGTAACTGTGATCAAAATATGCAAGTACACTCTCCTACCCAGAGCAGACTGTGTTTGGCTCTGTTGGAGTCATTTTAGAAACTAGTTTTCCAGCCCCAGGACCTGGGGATTTTTCTCCCAGCACTATCAGGAATTTCAGGGAGAAGTGGCTAAGACCAGAAGAAAATGCACTGCTGAAATAAAGAGAGCAGAACAAAGAGACACTGGCAAACTGCTGCGCAAAAAACAAAGATAATTACCAAAAATCTTGGCTGGAATCATTATTTCTCATGAGCACATGAAACATATGCTAATAAGCCAACTCATCTGCCTGTACAGTACTTCAAAGATGGCTGGTGTAAAACATTCCCAACCCAGAACACGAGAAATTTGGTATGCTACTCTCTATCATTAATTTTTTGCATACGGGACTGAGTGTTTACCCTCTGAAAGTACTGAAGCTAATGGAGAAGACCCTCCATTAAATTAGGCCAGTTCAGCCCACTTACTTCTCATGAAACCAAGCTGGTGAAAAAAACGAAACATAACAAAACAAGAATTTGACTTTATTTTTAACCAGCCCATTCATGAACAAGGCACTTCTGTACTAATAGCACCTTTACTTACAATGTCAATATGGTTATTTATCACTGTAAGCAGGACTTCACTTTCCTGAGATCCATTGGAGCAAATGGACCCAAGTCAGCCCAGCCAAGTGCTGCAGCATACAGCACAATGGAATCTCAGCATACACATTTTCTAATAACAGAACTGGTAAATTAACGTGAATCAACCCATTAACCCTTCTCTCAATGAGGGGCAGCATTTGAGGACTGTAGGAACGGACAACACTGCTGTGTTCCAGGCAAGCTGATAGTGGGCAACCATTGAGAAGAGATTTGCACTGAGTGGGAAGGGGGGAGATCTGCACAAGCACAGCCCTAGGGTTCACAGAGCACCAACACAAAGCTGAGGCGACAGAAGGCACCTGAGCAGACATGAAGGCAAGCCTAAGAAATAAAAGGCAGAAATGAACAGGCAAGAAGCTACTGGGGATAACAACAGAAAAGCCAACTACATTCCTTATCAACAGTGACCTTGCTCAGAGTTCTGCAGGACTAACTGCTCATCTCAGGCAGCCACATATGAGGTCCATAAAGCAACAGTGAACGCATTAAGTTTGCAACAGGTACCTTCAAATTTAATGTGAATGCAAGAAAACACAGACAAACAGTCTACATTCTAATATTTCTAACTGAAAGAGAACAAGTCATCAATCCCTGCCCAGGCTTATAATCCACTAAACTCATACTGCTGTCCTACCAAATAGAGTTTCTGAAAGCCAAGACGCTTGAAGAAACTGGCACAGGCTGCTTCTTAGCTGCCATTCACTACTCACAATGTAGCAGCCATACAGATGTTACCAAGATCTTTTATTCCTAAAAGCATGCGTTGTGTGTTAACACAGGTGTACAGAGGAACACACTTAATAAACTACTTCCCCATATGCTGTTCAGTTCCTAAGGTCTCACAAGATTCAGAACTGGGGCACTGCAGAGACACCGAACAGGTGCCTCAGCATTCACTACGTAAACACATTTTACACAACCAAAGCTTATTAATGAGCCAGATAACACACGCAGACTCTGCTGGATTCCTGCCTAAAAGTTCCAATCCTCGTTCTGAGGTTGAGCAATCAGCACTGCCAAGCCTGATCTCTCGGCTTTATCAGGGAGAGCAAGAAGCAGCTTCAAGGCCTGGCACGCACACACCTTGATCCATGTGACTTCACAAGCACCAGGTAACTTCTCTAGATCAGAGTACAAGCAGTTAGGCCACAGCCAACACACTACACAGCTGGCACTCACCCTTCCTCCTGCAAGCAAATAAACACATGTTTAAGATAGAGGAGGAAGACAACACTACTGAGATTTAACATGTCTCGATGACAGTACTGGGGCTGCGCCACCATGCAGTGGTGTTACTTCAGACACAGACTTGCATGTTTCAGTCTGCCTGCATTCCCTGGGAAGGATCTGCTTTAGAAGTAGCTTTATTAAGACGACGATTCCAGAATTTCAAGGTTGAGTAAACAAATGTGGATCAAAGTACATTCCAAAGGAAAAGTGGTTTCAAGACTTTGCTGCCTTCTTAGGATCACAGAATGGCCTGGTTTGAAAAGGATCTGAAAGATCACCTGGTTTCAACTCCCCTGCTATGGGCAGGGTCACCAACCACCAGACCAGGCTGCCGAGAGCCACATCCAGATAGAGCTACGAGAAACACAGGCTGGAGAGAGAATTAGATGTAGAGTCCCAAAAGCAGGAAGACAGCATCTACTGCAAGAAAGGCAGGCAATAAGTACAGCTTGTCAAAAGAAAGAGCTCTTGTTTTTGTTGAAATCTGGGAGAAATCAAGGAATTTTTAAAAGGTAATGGTTGAGGGTGGGGCCTCTGCTGATTTGTTTATTAGGAAGTGAAAATGGCTTGCTTTCCATTTGCAATGACTTACTGATCCAATCCAAGTATCTCAAAACGAGAAACAGGAACAATGTCATTATTACAATCAAGAACATAAAATGGAATGGCCCATAGAAGAACCAGCTTGGGATCAAAGGAGTTAAAAGTCATCCATGGTTAGCAGTGAAGTCAAAGGGAAGGTTTCACACACAACTGATAGCAGTGAGGGCAGAAAAGGGGAAAAAGGGAGCCTGGAACAGAGGAAGAAGTGAGGACAGAAAGTCTTACATAGGAACAAAGGTAGGAAGAGAGCTAAATGTGAGTGGAGAAGGAGACTGGAACTGCAAAGAGGCTGTGAGAAAGCGATGAACAAGAAGTACCACTGAAACCTGGTATGCATTCCACCTGCAAGCAAAACAGAATAAGCTTCCAAGTAAACATGATAAAGCTCTTCCTTGGACACAGCTGAAATAAGAGCTCCTTGAGCATGTCTGCAGGGTAAACATCCTGATAAGGACTCAAATGTAAGTACTGGGCCCTGCAAACTCCAGCTGACTGCATTGGAGAGCTGGGGTGCACAAGGACTGCAGAAGAAAGCAAGAAGATCTGATATAGGGATTGCAGCTACAGTGGAAACCAAGTGTTTCTGTTATGCAAACACATGGAACACACAAAAAGGTGACTCATGAGACAGTGGAGGAGGAAACTGAGAAAGCAGTGCGGAAGTGGAATGAGCTGAAGGTATACAATGGTATGTTCAGCACATTTATCTGCCTCTCAAACTTGTCAAGTGACATTTAAGCAATTGCTAACTGACCTACAATTCAACACTATCAATCACCTATCTTTCTTAATCACCTCTCATATATTGATATAGATAATGATTTTGCACAACAAATAGCAAACCTGTGATTAACAGTACTCAGAGTGCAATGCAGACAAACCTCTCTACACCCTTAAAAAAGTAAATTGTCAAATGCAGCTCTGCAGCAGCTTATAACACAAACTGCTTCCTCCTGCAGCTGCACTGCTGTCAGCCAAGAGAAACTCAGGTTGGGACCTCTGGATTTATGACAGCATCAGGAACTTCTTGCTACTGCTCGCCTTACCAGCGCACTGGAGAACATCAGCATGCTGCTGTAAATCTTAAACCGACTGAAATCATAACTCTTCCCCAAAATCTGGGAGAGCTCAAAAGCAGTGTCACGTTCTGAAGGCCAGGTAATCTGCAGTGAGGACACTCCCGGTCACCCCAACCTTTAGTCACAACATTTGAATCCTGCAAGGCTTATCCTCTGCCTTTCTGCATCACTTAATTCACCACTGTTAACCCTTCATTCAAATCTTGTTTATTTACAAAACAGGTAACACACATTTTAGAATGTGACCTCAAGCACTCAGTCTAACCAAGGTCACCACGAGGTAACAGAAAGGCCAGACAGCTTTTATGGCATGTCCTCAGCTCTGTGCCTTTCACAGACAGGTGGGGTGCTCACAGAGCCACAGTTGCTGGAGTAAAGAAGAACCAAACTGCTTTTACCAGCTGCAGGCTTAAACAAAATACAAAGCAGCAGTACATTTAGGAAGAACGAACACCAGTGGACCATCAGATCTACACTGGCAGAGCTATTCACACAAGCAACAAAGACAGAAAACGCCCTGGAGAGTCATATCAGTGCCAATTTGCATGTCATCTTATCATTTGAAATGTTTTCTGTCTTAGCGTCCAATTATCATAACCAGAGCTGTACTTACAGACAGGGTGAGCCTGATCTCCTTATGGTTACAGTTTTTTGAAAGCTTCTTCTTTAACGCTTTGACTGCATCCTTAGGCCTGTGACAAGACATCAAATAGAAAAGTACCAGAGAAACTGTTTTTCCACTTCATAACTACATCCAAAATCCCAAAATACCGGCCTGAGATTGGGGCATCCCTGTATTTACACCCACTTACAAACAGAGTCATTTCCCCACAGATTTTGGTAAAATTTCTTCAGCAATGAGCGAGATAAACAAAGCAGCCAATCGGGAGCATTGCTGCTGAGATTTGTGCAGAGAAATGAAGTGATTCTTCGCAGGGCCTCCTTCCAAACTGTATTACTTCACTGTCATACTGTGGATTTACTCACCTAGTGTGGACAACATCCGTTGCTATGAAAGGGAATAGGAAATGCCAAATGTACCAAGACTTGACTCGCACCTATTTTTCAAATATGATGTGATCAAAAGATATTCTCCTGGGAGTGCTGCAAGAAGTAGGGGTGTCTTGGCTAACCCCCAATCTTTTAATTGCTGGATGCTTTTAACTAATCTGAGTAATTATCAGGTACAGACAGACAACGCATTCCACCCAAGAGAGTGGCACTTCCACTACAATCTTTCTCATTTCTATATATACACCCCATATCTGCTAAATATCTCTGTAGGAGGAAAAGGGTGGAAGACAGTATCAAAGTTTATCACATGTGGGAAACAATTCTGACTGATTAATACGGGCTATGTATAGTGTACCCAGAAATTACAGCTATTAGGGCCAGCTCAGTGCTCATCATCGACAAAAACAAGATGTCCTCAAGTCTCTTTAGGATCTCTGTGGAATCTAAGATGGAACCATAAACTGAACCTGTCAATTACAGAAATCTTTGCTGAAAACATTACCAAGTTGATTAACTTAAATGGGCATTTACCACTGCCACTTCTTTTTTTTCCTCAGTTTGAAAGGTCTGCTGTACCTTATGTAAAAAAAGCAGCAACTTCTGTATTTTTGCTTCGATCCTATGGCCACCCGCAATTAGACCAGCAGAACACAGAGTCAGTGATGGATGGGAGGGGAGAGGAAAACCTCCCCCTGCAAAGCGACGCTGCTACCCCACCGCTGCTTCTGTCTGAAGCATCTGGAAATGCCCTGCTCAGGAGTTGGGTATTACATTAAAATAACAATTTGCCTAATTAGATACAGCAGTTCCTCTGTTCCTAATATCCTGTTACAGACTGGGACTAGCAGCAGTTGCCTAGGAGGAAGCTTTAAGGAGCTGCTCTGTAAGCATAAGCTGTACACAAGAGGAAGTAGTTCATTAAAAAAAAGCTCTGTTGCATAGAAACTTCACATAAAACTACCACAGATGGTCAGAACGTGCTGTGGCTCATGGCAGGGACTGGGAAGGAGTTACTGCTGAGCCCCCAAGCTCTCAGTCACAGGTGAGAGATGACATTGGGAAAAATGAAAGGAGGGAAAACTTGCTATAAAAGAAGATACGGATACCTTTTTTTTCTGAAGAAAGCTCTCCAGCAGCGTTATAGCGTGCCACTGCCCACTGCCTGCGAGTGCTAGACACGTGTGTGCCAGCAACGTGTGTGTCAGCAGGTCCCATACAGAGCTCACCTCCCCCTGCCCACACCGCTAAACGCTGCTGCTGGAGCCGGGTGGCCTCGGGTTCCATCCGCAGCTGTGCTTTAACACCTGAGCGGCCAGAGGACTTCTCCTAGCCGGGGCTCTGCAGGGCATGGGGCCGTTCTGCCCGACGAACAGCACGGGCTGCATGAAACGCGGACGGAACCCGCGCTGCCACCTCTCGCCAACAGCTCTGAGCCACAGCCCCGGCAGACGGGCAAAACAACTCCCGAGGAGCCGGGCTGCCGTTCAGCTGCCCGTACACACGTGTGCACACACACATACAACACATACACGCGTAGCCCCGGCCCCGCTCACCCCTCCTCTGTGGCGTTGATCACGTCGCAGATGTGCATGAACTGCCCCCACTCCTCCGTCTGCAGCGATCCGAACGTCGCCCGGTCTGTAAAGCCAGGGGCACCGCGGTCACCGGCGGCACTCGACCGGCCCGGGATCCCCGCTGCCCCCGTCCCCTACTCACCCACCAGGCTCCCCACGGCGGTGCCGAACGGGTCTTTGGGCGCCTTCCCGAAGGCCATGGCCGCCGCCTCCCCGGGGCAGCCCCCTCCCGAGCGGCCCCGTCCCGCCGGGCGCTCCTTCCCTTCCCGGGCCGGGGCGGAGCCGCCCGCAGGTACGGCAGCGGGGCGGCCGCGATCACGTGCGGGCCGGGCCGGGCCGGGCGGCACCGCCCCGCGGGGCAGAGCCTCAGCGCCGCTCCGGCCCGGGGAGCTGCGTGTCTGGCTGCGGAGCGAAACCCGCCCGCCGCCGCAGGGCTCCTCGGCCACCTCGTACGAGGCATCGAGCGGCGCGGAGCACGGGAAGCCCGGCACAGGGCGAGGAGCCGCGGCTCGGAGCTGCCTGCTGGCGGCCGGCGCTCGGAGGAGTTCGACGGAAGAAACGGCACGAGCTGCCTGGGAGCGCTCGCCCGGATCGGTTCTGCGGAAGAAAGAAGTTTGGGCTGAACGCTGTAAAGCTCGCCTGTAAGAGCCCGCAAAAAACCGAGGTGGAAAAGGAGCTGACGCTGATCCCATTCGCGCAGTCACCCCACAGAGCTGCCTGTGCATCCCACAGCGGGGCTTTCTTTTTGTGGTTACTATCGGTGTGCCGCTCTATCGCAAGTTTGACTTTATCTCAGACCCAGACAATGCCGGGGAACAAAACGTGTCATGAATGAAGATTAAAAGCTCAACTGCAGTTTTTGTTGACTGCGAGTTGTAATTATTGCAGTGTCAAACAAACACGGAATTGCATTAACCTTCACTTGAGTACAGCTTAATCAGTCACAGTCAAAACACGATGTAACCAAATAAGTCATTTGCGTGGCATTAGAATATCATGAATGAACAAAGCTGTCTTTGCACTGACGAGAGCCCTGCCCAGCAGGAACGCACTCATTTGCGTACATCTACGGCCCCACCTGCAGGCCGGCACAGCACAGCACGAAGGAGGGGAGCATCTCCCACATCCCTACAGTACAAGGCACCGAGCAGCTCGCCTCTGAGTTCTCGCGTTTACAGCGCGTTCACAAACCCAATCTCTTCCTCACACTTTCAATAAGAAATGAGCTTCATCACACAATCTGGTGAGGTTTCAGCTTAAGACTTTTTCTAATGAACTCCTCGATTCTCTATGCTTCTGCTCTCCTTGTCTGGTGTTCTACAGCACACAAAGTAGGAGTCTGCTTGTCCTCCGTTGCAGAATACTGAAAGACAACCTCTACACTCATTCACTCTTTACTGCCTGAACTCCAATAAGGGCCCATTGAAATGAGCCCTTGTTAAACCTGCAACATGAGTCAGCTCTTGTTTCAGAGAGCATATTTTATTGAGCTGCTCAGGGGAAAAAATTAATGAAGCCTTTTTTTTCATTGGAATTTACTACTTAAAGTTACTCACTGAGATCAGCTGCTGGCACCAACTGAAGAACAGCCCGGGGTTCGGGCACAGCCCTCAGTGTGAGCTGCCCAGCAATCAGAGCCCTGCTGCACTCCCAGCACTCTCACTGCTGTTGCGGCTGCAGTATTACACTTCATGACCATTATTAAGGGGCACAGCATTTGGGAGAGTGTTCTAAAAAGAAAGGAGAACAAGCCCAAAACAAAACCAGGAGAGAATCCCGAGCACACACAAGCATATTCAGTCTCACCGAGAAAGTGCTGAAAAATAACTTTCAGCTTCTTTGAAGACCCCATAAGTTCAGGTTCTGCTCTGCCTTAGATGCATAAACATCTCCAGCGTGAAATTAAGAACCACAGTGGGACTCCACTTCTAAATTTTGTGCCATTTTAAAAAATTCTCAACAAATCCCAAGAAGGCACTTTGGGTTTTGGAGGCCTTATTCTGTCAGTCCGGAGGTAGCAGAGCTCTGCAGATTTTGGGAGATGCATGCACTGCTCACAATAAACTCACGGGCAATAACACAAATAATTTCTCTTTGCAAAACACTTTGGAAAAAGAAGGTGTCCAGTGGCACCACCTACACCCACCTCTTGATGCAGCATATCTTTTGTCAGCCTAAGCAGGCTTCTCAATGCAATTTTATTTGTACTACAGATACTGTGGATGCTGTGACAAAAAACAAACCCCTAACTGCCAGAGCTACCCAGAGATTTTTTCCCCTCTAGTTTTGCTGAGTTTACAGCTTATATATCATTAAGTTGTAAAGTCAGACTTTATTTAATCTTCGGTCTTATTTTCAAGGATTTGTGTACACATACAACAGAGTAAACATTTCACCTAACAGCCCTCCTACTCATAAATTGATCCATGATATTGACTCGTATCTCAGTGATGTGTTGTATCTACATGCACCACAGTGATGACTTTTGACACGGTTTAAGAACAGAGAGATTTTTAAGAGATCACTATTTCTGCAGCCTTGCAGAGGAATTGCACAGTACCGTCTGCCCCAAGAGCTGTGTTTCCTCCCCAGCCTTCCCCAGGAGCTGTTTGAGGCTGATTCTTCCTTGTTATCCCATACAACAGAGCTGCAATCAGCAGGATTCTTGCTGCAGCTCATTAGACCAGATGCTGGTTGTGGCCTGTGCTGGGAGCTGAACTTGAACAAACAGCCAGAGGGCCGCATCAAATCCCTTCTGCACAATCTCCATTAGCTCACTGCCTTCAGATAACAGCAAACCTAATCAAGAGCCATTTGGGCAAATTAAATTAATGCTTGTCTTATTTGGCACTGAGCCTTACTAAGAATGCAGAGCTGTCCCCAAATATCCGTTGAAGTAATTACTACTTTATTGTAAAAAAAATAATAATAAAATAAAAAAAAAATCCAACCCTGGTTGTGCGAGCAGCACCTTTAATTTGCCTGTGTAAGAACAGAGAAAGAACATTGCAGCAAACGAGGGAAGTGTGTGCAGCCTGCAGAGGGCAAGCTTGGCCAGCCAATCTCCCCGTGCACACAGTGCAGGTGCCTCAATGAAAAGGCACTTCTGGATGGGCCTTTCTCACACACACTGTGGGCTTCACATGCAGCTTTTTAGCAGTAGGACGCTGTCTTGTTAGGAACAAGGCTGTCTCTGTACGTGTGATGCAAAGCTTTCTGAAAGTAAACCAGGGAAGGAATGCGGTGTTTTTGGGACTCAGGAGTGCCCCACTCAGGCTTCCCCCACAGCTCTGTGCTGTTTCCTGGACACACTGCCATGGCAAAGCTGGGCAAATCTGTGTGGCCCACTCCTGCCCCCAAGCTTCTCTCCAGAAGTGTATTTCCTTACAACAGATTCTAGATACATAAGGTGAAATCACTGTTACATAGCACAGTTTTGCAAGTTTTGACTCAACTTTCCTGTACGAGATTAATTATTAAATATACCTCTGCTGCTACTTCTCATTTTCTCAGTACTCGGAGAACAGCGGTATCTAAAACCAGACCCTTTGTAGAAAACTGCATGTAAAGCAAATGACTTTCAAACAAGGTCCTGAATTACTAATTGCAGCATGACCTGATTGCCCACAACAGAAGCACTGCCACCAAAACTCACCTGCAGCCTGTTAGGAACCTCAGCCTGCCTGTAGCCCTGTGTCCCCCAGCCCTGGGTTGAGTCCACCAGCCCCAGCTAACGTAATGCCACACTGCTCACAGGGCTATCTCCTGTCCTAATTAACCACGAGTCTCAGCTCAACTCTCTGCTGGATTTTAATTACTGAGTTATTAATTCATGGGGAAAAAATTGACAGATGTTTCAGGTTGGTCGTAGCAAATTAAAAGGCAGGTGCCTGGCACCAAGAGTCAGAAATGATTAAACAAATGACTCATGGATGTTCAGCTGTTTCACAGCAAACAGTGTGCAAGGCATTGCTTGGCATTCTGCAGGGCAGGGTGACTTCTCAGGATAAAAATAACTGCAACAGATTTCACTATCTCACTTTTAAATGTAAGGAGGCTTTTAAATGTGCGTTCTTAATTTGCTTTGCAGTTTTTTTCTTGGTTTGTTTCACTCTCCTTTCCTTTAAAAAGGAAATTCTGCTTTTTCCTCAGATTCTTAGTTTAGAAAAAAGTTGGGGTGATGCCATTTGAAGAGAAGGAACTATCTGGTTCCTCTTCAGTTATCACAAAGCAATATGCCACACGTTACTCTGTATACAACATGCATACATAACACAAGGCTGACGACTATTTTCCATTTCTTACAGGGGACAACAGTTGTAATTCTGCTGCTAACTTCAAGGGCTTGACAAAGCTCATGGAAGCGTTAGTGCAGATCAAACACATTACGGGAAACGCAGCCTGAAAGGCTACCAAGGTCGGTGCTGTTAAAGGAAAGCAGGAAGCAGCATTGCCACGGGCTGCAGCTCTCCATCACTCGTGCTGCTCCGCAGAGCCGTTCCGTCAGGTCTCAGCAGGTCCCATTTGTCATGATGGCACACGCAGCCTCAGCCGAACTGAGCAGAAACCACCTTTCAGAAGATGGCTGGTTATTAAAACCCATCGCTTGGCCACAAGTTCTCTGCATCTCTTTGGGCATTTCTGCTGGGAAGGTGAAGGAGGGGTTCCAGGCTGAGTTTGGTGACAGTGTTGCTTGTTTGACTGAACACCCATACACAATTTATGGTACAACCCTCTCCTGAATGAGGCATGTTGTATTTTCCACATGTTAGAATCATAAAAAAGATAAGTGTTTTGCTAATATTTTAATTTCTGTACAGGTTGTTTTTTTTCCCCCCACCCTTGCATTAAAGTACAGCTCAAACTACACCTCTGGTTCAAGTCAATCAAAAAATTACTCAAAGACAAAAAAAAAAAAAAACAAAAAAAACCCCACTAAATTTGATTTGGACAATGCGGAATCAGATATTTTGACAACTTCAGAACTAGAATTGAATGGTAATAGATTCGTAGGAACAGCCTGCATTTGTCAAAATCAGCATTCTCTGATCAGACAGCAGAAAAATTCCCCACAGCTGCAGGCTATGCTGCGTAGCAGCTGTCCTGGAGCTATGAGGAAGTTGAACAACCACCATCACCACCACTGCCTTCTTCCCATAGCCTACCAAAACTCACCCTGTCTGCTTTATTACCACAGGACAGATCCAAATGCATTACTTGGGAAGCTCTATCCAAACCATCTCTCTGTA